TCACACATTGTACCAGTGTATGAATTAAGGCCTGTCCGACCGCCCGAGACGGGCTAGATTTCTGCTGGACTGTCTAATTTTACAGCTAGCCAGCCCGATGGACGGGTGAAAAAAATATTCAGATAGCATGTCCATTGGCACTGTCTATTTAATATTTAAGACGGACTGGTTAAATCTCTTCTGGGCTGGTAAGTTTTGAAGTTACCAGCCCAGGCCCCGATTCTCGAAGTCTGAGTTTTGACTTAAGGAGTCTTTATTCAAATTTGAGAAAAGTCAGGAAAATGCATTCCACAGAATGAACTGAAATCGGTATTAAACTCAAACTATAGAAGATAATTTGAGTTTGGTGGATGATTACTTTAGTTGTTTGGGTTTTATATTTAAAAATGTAGTTGAGTTAAAAATTCAGCTGTTCCAAATTGTGAACTCAGTTTGAGATTTGGTAAAATCTAAAGTTTGTTTTATGGGGGCCAGATGTCTGGATGGGTTTATGGCTTATTTCATACACTGATTGTACCCATGCGAGGGAATCTAACCCGGGTGTTTGGCCTGATGAGTGAACACTTTGACCTTAAGTCTACCCCATCATTATGATGAGCTCCAAGGACCAATAATTTTAGTTAATAATGAGTGTAGTTCATTATATGCATTTCGACTAAAATATATAGAAAAAGACTTAACTGAGCATGTTATATCTGTCAGTTAATTATAAAGTAGTAAACATAGCTTACTGCACCTTGTTGCTAGATTTTGCCTTACAAGCCCCTGGGCTGTTATCACAGGTGTCGCCAATCTCTAACATACATGCAGAAACCGGTCAAAATAGAGATCATTAGGATGTTTTAAGTGGTAAAACACTGCATGTAAAATAGAATCAGTATTTCCCTCATTGAAACAACACTGTATGCCAGAACTTTTTTCAGTCTCCAATTTCACTTCAAATATATACAGATTTCGGAGTAAGATCACAAATAACAGAATAAAATATAAATAGATTGTTTGTCTTTCAAGACTTGAAAAAGATGACATTTTCACTCATGGATGCACCACTTGTGATAGTATCAAGTGGGGTCTTTGGACATAAACACTATTTGACAAGCATTCAATAAATATCCTCGAGTTAATAAATTATCTAATATTCTGTATGGTTTTACTAGGCACAACACTCTCTTGACAAAAACAATTCCATTAATAACCAAAACGAATATTTAAAAAAATCAAAATGAAACATTAACAAACTTTTGAGGTAAACAAAGCAGATATTTGAGAAAAATGTTGCAAATTCCATATACAGATTGTCCTGATTGGGTTTGACAGCTACATTATTGAGTGAGTTTCAGTTTTACACCGCTTTTAGCAATATTCCAGGGCCTAGATTGTTTAAGCTCTCTTAGCGCTAAGATAAGTGCCATTCATTAACATTAACTTACGACTATCTTAGCGTTAAGAGAGCTTCGAAAATCTAGGCCCAGCAATGTCATGACTTGGGACACTAGAAATGGGCTTAACACATTGTACCCATGTGGGAATTGAACCTGGAGTGACGAGCGAACGCTTTAACCACTGGGCTACCCCACCGTCCCTACAGCTACATGAAGATGGTAACGGGAAATTCAGAAGAAGAAAACAAGACAATCTTCCATATTGTTCTTTGTCTGGGGATACCACCGGTAAAAACTGTCAGTACACTGTGATGCCATTCTTGCTGTGGTTTACAGTTTGAACACAAACTCAAATACATGTATATAAAAGAACAAATTTCAAAACTTCAATCACCAAATATGAACACTAAAAATATCTAAAAGTGTAAATAAATATTGTACAACAAATACACACTGTAACTATGGTAACAAGCTTGACTGTAACAAGTTACATGTCAATATGTCAAATTCATTGTAAAAAATGATAAATCTGGAAATCTACAAAACTACAAAAATATTCACTCACACTGGGCCTATTACTTTCTTGTTTTACCAGATGATTTAAATCTGCAAAGGTTAACACATACATTGCAAAAATACATATTTGAACATCTTTTCATATTACCTTTAAACAGATATTAGTAAGAAATCAAAACCAACAAAAAATGTTTATTACATATTCCCTACTGCATCTTGGTAACCTGTAAACAAGAACAATATGGGCTCAGCGTATCATGATTATTTATACTTCATATGATCATAAATGCCCTTACTGGATTTCAGTTATCCAGTGAATTATAGCGTCTCTTATGATTAATACCTGGGCACATTTGCCACGATAGCTTCCATGTTGAAGTGATTTCATCATCTCCATCCTGCTTATCACTAAATTAGTCTGATTTTTAGAGTAACAATCATGAATTCAACAATCAATGAATATGTAGACATTTAAGCGGTCGTCATTGACCTATATTGAAAAATAGTATTGGACCAGACTTTTGAATTTAATCAAATCAAAATATTTTAATTTGTGGCTGGAAAAGATGTATCCTAAATATCAAGACAGGATCGCTAATGTCATTATTCTATCAAGGTTGCAAGGTGTATTTTAGATTCGAGATGTTTTACTGAAGTACTGATGACAATAATGCTTGTTGCAATCATGAAAGGACAATGAAACGTTTGGTTGGCTATTTTAAGCACTGTGTCATTCAAACAAACTCAAAACAAAGCTGTGGTGGCAAAAGAAGTCCAGGGTATTTATCACAACAGAAGGGATATATGACCCTGGAACACCGAGGATGGTATAATGCACAGTAACAACAAATACATTCCAGAAAAGAAGCTTAGTATTAATATTTACACATATCAAGTGTACATCACATCCACATGGCTGTGAATCGTATATGAATCAAATATACACATATTTGAGGAAGCTGTTATTTTGAAAATATTCATAAGCATGCAAGATCAACACACAGTTAGTTACAGATTGCAGAGCACAAATTCTGTACAGAAACATGGCTTAAACAGCAGTAATAAGAATCAAAGTTTACATAATTTTGATTGAATTTGTTATGTTTCTGGCCTGTCTGCATCATTTCTAACCAAGGGTCGGTTTATCCAATCTCATTTCCCCAAAATGAATGCAGATACTGAATGGTGCATGCTAAGTAACACATCAGTTTACTGAACTTTTATGAATTGCTGTGGAAAAGACATTCTAATACCAGATTTTTTTTTAGTTTTATGCCGCTTTTAGCAATATTCCAGCAATATCACTGCGGGGGACACCAGAAATGGGCTTCACAAATTGTACCCATGTGGGGAATCGAACCCGTGTCTTCAGCGTGACGAGCGTACGCTTTAAAAACTAGGCTACCCCACCACCTCTCTAATACCAGAGACAGCTACATTTGTACTGTAGAAAACAAAGACATTTGGGTCAGTATGGTGAATCATACAAACGTGTCTGTTAAAAAACACAAAAATCAAATAAAAACAGTCATTGTGTCATTTCAGGAAAACCCAAACGCCAGAAACCTGATATTGGGTTTGTTGACCTAATATTCAGAATACATTGTGACATTTTGTTTCATGACTCCTTGTTACACTGGTGAGGAGATGTAGGGTGAATATTCTGTGCTGTCCACACACGGTGCTTGACACAGTGGACACCATACAAGAGTCTTTAACGACTGTCAACAACCATTCAATTATCTTCCACAAAACACAAATTGCAATTCATCCCATTGAATTCATCCAAAATATTTACTTAAACATGGGCCAAAAGTGAACAAGTTGGATCAGTACTGCTTTTGACACTATTTCAGTCATAAAGTCTGCAGATCCTTATAAACAAGGGAGGCAACCCTGCACAGAACATCTAAGAGCCCAAGACCAACAAACACATGTCTCCCAGAGTTTGAGATTAAATTACTCTAACAGAATCCTTAATCCTATGAGACTGATGCTTTCTGTTTTCAGTCACGGACATTTTGTGTGCATAAAAAGCACTCATAAAATCTTCAAAATTATCTTCTGACACTCTGGCATATATGCTATCAAAGTTTTTTCTTATATTCTGCATTACTGGGATACAAGAATTCAGTTCATCACTGGTGAGCGAGTTCAGTTTTATGCCGCTTTATTCTAGCAATATCACGGCAGGGGACTCCAGAAAAGAACTTCACACACTGTACCCATGTTGGGAATCAAACCTAGGTCTTTGTCTTGACGAGCTAACGCTTTAACCACTAGGCTACCCCAACACCCTTGACCTCATCACTGGACCTCATCCTATACTGACAGAAATATGTGTATCACTTCATCATTTGACAAAATTGAGGCATTTCCTGTTGCCTTAAACTGAGAAACAGGGCCCCGATCCACAAAGCGTTGATATGACCTGTCAAATCCTATATAGTTTAACATTGGCTTACGAATATCGTAGCGCTACAAATGCTTTGTGGATCGGGACCCAGACCATGGTTTTGGTAAGACATATCAACACATAACACATTTCTCCAAGGATTATATGGCTAAAATAAGTTATCTGTGCAGCAATCAACATATACAACCGACATTATCTCTGATCAGTGACTCTCAGCAGCAGCCAACTGTATCGGACTATGACAACAATGCTGCCCTCAAGCTTACCCATAATATTCCGGGATTGTTCTGGTGTTTTAAGCACTGCTTGGGCAGCAAAACCAAAATACTTGTGTTCATAATGTGTGTTTCTCAACATCACTTTTAGGAACTCAGATTTCAGTTTTAACAACATCTGTTACAACTCATAACGAAAACTCATCAAAAACATATAAAATAGAGATAGGTTAAAATAAGTATTGAAGTATTTTAAAGTAACACCTGTTATTGGCACCATACTTGAAACACAAGTACTTTGATGGCCTTCATGGATTTGGAAGAGTTAATACAAGGGTCAACATGTGAAAAGTTATTTATTATCATTAGGTCAGACCAATTATATTTCTTGTTTTACGGATTTTTGTCCTCGGAAAACCTAAAGGCTGGAGGGAAAAAGATATGAAGTGCATATTGGGCAAAAATCAATTCTTGTAAGTTTACATTTTTGGGCTATAAAAACATGAGAATTTTATTTTTGGAAGGGGAAAATTATTTTATTTTATTTTCTTATTCTTGACAAAATATGACCGGCGGATTTGTAAAACAAGAATTAAAATTGGTCTGGCCTTATTAGGATTATACTTGTACCACAGCATCAGTAAAAGTTTTAAAAATACCCTGCCTGGCACCAAATTAACTAATGAGATGAAAATACTCTGTTTTCAATGCACATGTAGTGCCATGTTACCTCTACTTTGAAGCAAAATTAATTGAATTTAGATATAAAAATAGTAGTCACCATTTCACAGAAAAGGGACTAATTTCCAGCCCTTGTTTTTCTCTAAATCACAAATACGCTCTCAGTTGTTTTCTATTTTGTTTTGGCCCAAAAGGTATGGCTAATCCTACTTTTAATATTGAAGTAACCACTCTGTATTTTGAAATGTATTATTCCACATATATTATTTTAAAATTCCCACAATACAAAAGAATCATTTTCCATAGCTCTTATGGAACATCCATCAGGGGTATTATAGTGGTTTGAAACCTGATATACCTCTCAGAATCAGTTGTTTTCCAAATTCACAGTAGAACATTGCTTTTAAAAGATAAACATGCACACAAACAGCATTCCCTCATATTTCTCAGTTTCCTATCACCATCTTTTGAACTATTGTAAAAGGTGCAATATAAATCCTACCTGGGTAAAAACAATGTTTATTAAATAGAAACAGAATTCACAGCAGCACTTTGATCGATGACCCAAGTAGAAAGAAACATTGGCTTTTGTAGACAGCTGACTGGCCACTCATGTGAAAAGTCTGAGGTAACACACTTCAAAGTCAGTCCACAGAGTCTAACTCTTTGTCTTGAGGTGTGAGTAGGACAGTATAGAGCCGTATCTCCATCAGGCTACGATAAGAGGTCAAGGTCAAGGGATTATCCTGCAGGTTTACTTCCACCAGCGACGTCATGGACTGCAGCCGACTCGTGTCAACATCTGTGGAGAAAACAGTAAATATACTCAACAAAAAAAGAATCTTCACATTTAGAGTACACTCATTACGTCCATAAACCAGATTTATCCACTAGCAACACACTTTGTTCTACATGGGTATGTTTGGAACATAAAGTAACCCATGTGAAGTTTCTTCTGATGTTCAGTATATATATCACTCAGCAAATGAAGCCTAAATAATGCCAATAAACTGTTTTGTCTCATTTTGTTCAGGACTTTTTTCAAAACCCAAATGGAGGTGGGGAGGAATATATGTAATTCATTCTACTTTATGAACTCAATTCTAAAGAACCAAGTACAAATAAAAAAAACCACCTCTTCACTCTGTGACTGGTTATCAAGGGTGTTGTAATATAATTTTATATTTAACAATCCATTTCCGTTTCATTTATATTTCACCTAAAGTCCACTTTTGTAATTGATCAATTCCTAATTTTTGTATCAACCCCACGTGGGAAAGTAAACAGTAGCTGAAACACAGCCAACTTGTCTGTCAGTTACTGACCCTCGTAGTGTGTAACAGACATGATAACAGCGGGTACCTGTTATGCTGTTGTCTTCCACATTGAGATTCCGCAGTTTGTTGAAGGTGAAGATGACGGAGGGAAATGACTCGAAGCTGTTGCAGGATATGTCCAGCACCTTCAGGCTGTGCATGTCACGGAGCTCGTCGGGAAGAGACGTCAGTTTGTTGCCATTGATGTGAAGCTCTGGGAAACAAAACACCATTACTGTTGACTTGTGATATTTTCTGTTTTTCCTTACGCCCTCATTTGGGGGTGGGCAGTGGGGCAGTGTTTGCTCATCACGCCGAAGACCTGAGTTCGATTCCCAACTTGAATACAATGCATGAAGCACTTCTGGTGTTTCTCCACCATAATATTCCTGGTATTGTTAAAAGCTGCATAAAACTTTACTCACTTATTTTGGTCCTGTAGTCTTATAAATTAACAGTACATATAAGCTTTAAAAAAACTACTATTACTGGTTTTCTTTCCAAATTAAGGCTTCAGAAATACAGGATACAGTTGGTTTAAGGACTATATGTTACACAGTGACACATTTATTCATATTCTGCCCTGTGACCATTGTCAACAACCACACTCAGACAGATATATTAACTGATTATATCATATTATTACATGTTTATTTGGAGACTGTTGCAAACTTAGTCACAAAGACACCAAATGTTCAACTATGTACTTTTTAATGAATACTTTGGTACAATTTCTATAATACTGTAAAAGATATACATTTTGTAAGTAAAAAAGGTGATAATGTTTGTCTTGATTCAATTTGTGCAACAGATGTGGTTAACACAGTTAAGACACCAGAACAGGCTCGGTACCACTGTATTTTCCGTGTGTTGATGTAGCGACTCTCGGGTATGACGTCACACGACCACGTGACCATCTACCTCATTATCTTGCGTAATCGCGAAATGCTTTCGTGGGAGGTGCATTTTAGATTTCTAATACAAGCTGTATAATGAAATATTACCGTTTTTAACTGTATTTTGTGAATATTATATATACCCAGGGGTTCATTCAGAGCGAAACTAAACAATGTGAAGTGACCTTTTTAAAAATCCTTTAAGGCACCAAAACTATAAGCTTCCAAAGAATCAGTCCATAACTGACAACAATACTGCCAACAATGTGTTCGGGCTTACATACCAGATGACGTACAGAGTACAGAACTGTTTATTCACACAGCTCATCTGAGCTGAAAGCATTGGCCAGTAGAGGGATTGGCTCTACCCCAATCTTTCTTATTTTTATTTAATATAATCTGAGAGTTGAAGTTATGAAGTGTCCATGCTGGAAAAAATATATTTACCCATGAGATGGGGGAACTTGGTACCAAATTTGGCAGGAACTCTTCTGATAAGATTCAGTGAGATGTCACATGTTTCAAGCTCGGTGTTCCTCATCAGCAGGTATACAGCATCTGGGATCTGAGTGAGCTGGCACTCTGACAGGTCTGCAGACAGAGAATGAACAGCACTGAGGTGAGGTGAAAGTGGGTTTAACATCGTGCTGGAGAATATTTCGCTCATATGACGACGTGCATGCGTGTGTATGTGTATGTGCGGCTGCTTGTACTAGCCCAGACTTAAGCTGTTTTATAGTGCTAGCCCACTGAGATACCATGCCGCAGTGAAGCATGAATACCCCACTCAGACACATTATACTGACTCCGAGCCGACCAGTCCTTGTTTACCCATTAATGCCGAAAGCCAGGCAGGGACCAACAAGTACCATATTTTAACGTCTTTTGGTATGACGCGGTCGGGGATCGAACCCGCGACCTTCCGCTCTCCGGGCGGACGCTCTAACCACTACACCACGGAGGCGGTCCAAACACATTGAACATAGATGGACAATACAGTCATATCTGACTGAAACCAAAGAGTTTTAAAAGACAATATTTCTTAAAATCATTGTTCTCATAGATGACCAAGAATTTGGTAGAGTTGTCTATCTTTATAAGTTCTATTTCCTCAGACCAACAGGCAGGAAGATGTATGTTCCACACAACTTGACCAGATGCCTCTTGTCTAAAGGGGGACTGTGTTGAACACAGTTTTAGCAGTAGGTCAATGTTACTCACCATGCTCACAGGTTAAATGGGATCTCAATTCCTGATTTCTTTAGGGGGCGGTGGGGTAGCCTAGTGGTTAAAGCGTTGGCTCGTCACGCCGAAGACCAGGGTTCGAATACCCACATGGGCACATTGTGTGAAGCCCATTTCTGGTGTCCCCCGCCGTGATACTGCTGGAATATTGCTAAAAGCCGCGTAAAACCATACTCACTCACTCACTTCTTTAACAGTGGACTATGTGCTTTGCAGCTTTGAAGGGAATCAAAAGAGGTGCATGGCCCTTAGAGCTTTAAAAGGGAAGTATAAGTTTGTCATATTATTAATGGGAATGTGTTCCATGCATCTGAAACAGGGGATTTATGCAGTACAGCTTCATTGGATGGGCTATCCTACACAACCATAATGGAAGGAGTGGACTGTTGCTTCCGTAAGTAGCTCATGACAAGACATGGACTGTGATGAAAATATTTCAAATATTTTATGGCCTAATAATAAGCTTATATAATTTTTAACCTAACTAACATCGAACGTGAATATATTGTATAAAACCAAATTCAAACATTTTTCAAATACAACTTACAAGAACAAATCAGCTGTTTCAAGCAACTTGCACTTGATTCTGTGCGATTTATCCGCATTTTGTACGTCATTGTAAACGTACAAACTGCGCGAAAACAGTTACGACATCGTCAACAATGAACAATAGGCGATATGACAAGGAATTGTTTTCAGATTACGTAACCAAACAGCCAGGCGTCTCAATTTACTGTTTTAAACGTTAAACACCAGAACTGGGAACAGGAAAACAGATATGAAATGAACTCTTAAATATATCACAAAGGACATACATTTCGACCGTGACAAAATATTTCCTTCCCAAAATCAGCCGTATATCTGACTTGTCTAAAATTTGCCATTTTCCTCCGTGATTTTGTATAATACCTACCCAGACGTCGATTTTCTTTCGCCTGTTCGCACCTGTTGACAACTTTTGTAACGCCTCGCCCAGCCATATCTCCACCATTAAGCGAGTTGCTTTCTCCGTCGTTTACAGGTACCTACACTGGCGATGATTTCATATCCCACAGCATGCGCATGTGTTTACAAAACACGGCCGCTTGTAGCAACCAAAAGTGCAAGTATGCGGAGTTACGTCCCTTCCAATAATTATTCTCGTCGCGGGAATTATGAAATCAATGTGTCGGGGAAAACTAAGTGATTTTCGTTGGGACCAGGCAATCGATGTATACTTGCATTTTGGAAAGACTTCCGCCCGTATCCCCCCCCTTAAATTTCATTCTAATAAAATCATGTCACCTGAATTTATATTCCTCATCTGATAAGGATGAGTTTTAACATGTTTCTTTAATTGTATCTGAACATACTGAAAGACTTCTAAAAATGCCACTGAAAGAATTTTTTTCCCCCATCATTAAAATTTAGGGGGGATACAGGCGGAAGTCTTACGGATAATTCAAAAAATATAAAATAGGTAACATGTAAACAAATATGCTTTATATTCATTAACGAAATATAATAGAAAGTTTCAATAAATTATTCCAGTATATGAAAAGGTGAAGCTTTATTAGCTATTTAAACTTAAAATGTGTCTTTCAAGAATTTATTTTTGATTCTGTCGGAAAACCACTGGAATCAACTTGTATGACAATTGATGTGCCGCATGTAGTGAAAAGGGACTTTTCTGGTCAACATTGAGAATTACAGCAAGACCAAATTTACTCGCTGCCATATATCAGACTGTATTGCCTTATACTTCCTGTTTGATTCTAATCCATTAAAGGTCATTACAAATAAAATACAAATCCCAATCTTAACAAAAATCATGTAACACAATAATAATAAATAATGTCGTATATTCCAATTATGCTGACTGTGTTGGACTCTTGCCCTTCTCGTCCTACTCTATGCTGACCTGTGATATTTCCATCACGCTCTCGAACTGCAGACGCAGGTCTTCACAACGTCAAAGATGATGTTGTCAAACGCAGAATCTTCCGCTTAGGTCGCTGTATCTCCCGGTAAAATGTAGGGCTGTGACGACTATTATCTATTCCCGTAAGGATGAGACTGTTATGCTGTCAAGGCATTATTATGTTCATGTCGGAATTGGTTGACGTCAGGAAACGAACAAACGCGGGCTCGAAAGCATTCATGTACTGCGCGCCGCACTAAACATTGTTTTCAGCTGTATGGCGGCTTTGTGGAATAGGGCGGTGGGGTGGCCTAGTGGTTAAAGCGTTCGCCCGTCACGCCGAAGACCCGGGTTTGATTCCCCACATGGGTACAATGTGCGAAGCTCATTTCTGGTGCCCCCCCGCCATGATATTGCTGGAATATTGGTTAACCGAGCGTAAAACTAAACTCACTCACTCACTATGTGGAATATTGCGAAAAACAATATAACATCACTCTCACGCACTGATGTAAAAGCTGTTAACGCCGTGTTGAGCTGTATTTCAGTTATAGCATGGCGTGTCTGCTTGAAGTGGGAAGAAAACCCGAAGTGAAGCTGTTTTCAGACACCCATGAACATGGTATGGTGCTGAAAAAGATAAACTCAATGAAGATTGGTGCGTGACGTCAGATGAAGCATATATTTTACATGCTGGCATTGTATAAATAACATTAGTCTGTCTCACAGTCACTGAACCACATTATTTTCCCCCAACCCATCCCTTTCTTCAAAGCAAAAGAAAGGAAGCAAGTCTACATTTCCTCAGGTTCTGAACCTCCTAGGTTGATCAGGTCATTGGGACTCATTCTTAATTTAAACCTAGTTATTTTTTTCTTAACTTTAAACATTTTTGGATGCTTAACGTTAGTCTAATTAAAAATTAATGAACAATTATGTATCATATGTGTGGCAGACTCAAATATTCCTACATATGTTCACAGCTTTTTAATTAAGATTAGGATGGTTAAAATTAGTTACTATTAAGTAGTAATGTATATGACCTTGTTACTATTTGATTACTTCTACACCTATATTTAACAATAGGAAAAGAATACAAGTTAGAATGTTACTTATATGTATAGTAGAATATTAGTTATGCTTTGGGAACCGTACATAATTTATGGCTAGGGTGGGGGTGATGATGGTTTTTATGAAGGAGCATGTACAATGTGAATGCCCCCAATTATTTATGTACAAAGTAAGTGACCCCCTGCATGTCATGTACAAAATCAATGACAAACACACACCCCCCTTCCCATAATTTAAAAGCAGAATTTATTAATATTCTGTACAAAATTGTTGACCTCGTACATGTGTACAAACTTGATAACACCACACACACACACACACACACACACACACACACACACACACACACACACACACACACACACACACACACACACACACACACACACACACACACATTCCTCCCCAGAACAAAATGGGTGACCCCACCATAAAATCATCACTGTCCCTCCCCCAAACCATAAATTATGAACGGCCCCTTATATGTTAACATTTTCTTCCTTAAAACATTCAATCCATAGCTCTGTAAAGTAAGCTTCACTCTCAGTACAACATCCACTAATTATCACACTGCATGCTTACAACACACTTTGCTTAGCATGCAGGCCAGTTCTATTGTCCCACTGGTTGGCCAAGCTGGCCAAGCTTAACTTCAATGTTCAGACTTTAAACTCACATCCCTCACTTGCTCTCTTACTTCTGAAGGAAGGACACATACTGTTCTCAAATATTACTGAGATCGTATTTGCTATCACATGAGGACTTGAGATGGGTTCATATTGTATCAAATGTTGTATATATAGATAGTTTCTAGTTTATTATAATTAGAAATATGATGTTTTGTACAATGCAACTGGGATTTCATTTACTTGAAATATATCACAGCTTGTACATATTTGTAGTTGAAGATAAAGTCACAGTTCAGTGAATTACTATGATTATCTGTACAATTAATATAGTTAACTCTAACCTATGTTTTAGCACACAAACATCGTATAAGGCCAGACCAGTTTTATTCCTTGTTTTACGGATTTTTGTCCTCAGAAAACCTAAAGGCAGGAGGGAAAAAAAATATTTTAAAAATCACCAGTCAATGTAATAGTCCTTTTAAATACTGAAAGTATTTTATTTTTGTCAATTTGTGAAGTGTATATGGGTCAAAAAACAATCTAAAAACAGTTTTCTTGTAAGTTTACATTTTTGGCCCATAAAAACAAGGATTTTATTTTTTTGAGCGGGAAAAATTAATTCTTATTTTTTTTCTTATTCTTGAAAAAATATGACGGGCGGATCCGTAAAACAAGAAATATAATTGGTCTGGCCTAACTGTATATCTGTAGAGTGATGGTCAGTAAATTTGAAGGATGCCTGTATGTTTGAGGTGAGGTGAAATTGGGTTTAACGTCGTGCTGGAGAATATTTCGCTCATATGACGACGTGCATGCGTGTGTATGTGTATGTGCGGCTGCTTGTACTAGCCCAGACTGAAGCTGGTTTTATAGTGCTAGCCCACTGAGATACCATGCCGCAGTGAAGCATAAATACCCCACTCAGACAAATTATACTGACTCTGAGCCGACCAGTCCTTGTTGTACCCATTAATGCCAAGCGCCAGGCAAGGTTTTTTGGTATGATGCAGTCGGGGATCGAACCTGCGACCTTCCGCTCTCCGGGCAGACGCTCTAACCACTACACCATGGAGGCGGCCCTGTATGTTTGATATGAGTGGTTGATTGACATATATACGGTATATATATTAGTGGTGGTTCGATTAATTGAAATAATCGAAGATTGGTCGCAGTGACTAAACGACCAAGCAATCGATCATGTTTTCTCATAATCGAACAAAAACAATTCTGGAACACTTGTTTTCATTAACAGTATTTTTCACTAGGTTGGTTTTGTCTGTTACATTTCATAAGCACTACAAGCTCGTTCCAAGTCATGATTGAATTTATCTTAAAGACTCTAAGAAATTTATGTTCCTCCATACTAGTCATCCTTAAAGATGTGAAATTTTGCCCAAAAAATCCCAAAGAACTACGTTTTTTCCTTACTTTTTGTGCATTAACACATTTCATAAATGACGCTAACCAATTATTTTCGATGATTGATCGGTTGTAATGAACCAATCATCAATTATGAGATTTTAACCAATTCCCAACACTAATATATATGGGTACATGCATGTGTACGAGCGTTGTATGTTTAATTTGAGTGGTTGATTGACATATATACGGTATATATATATATATATGTACGATGTGCATGTATGTTTAATTTGAGTGGTTGATTGACATATATACGGTATATATATATATGGGTACATGCATGTGTACATGAGTGTTGTATGTTTAATTTGAGTGGTTGATTGACATATATACGGTATATATATATGGGTACATGCATGTGTACGAGCGTATGTTTAATTTGAGTGGTTGATTGACATATATACGGTATATATATATGGGCACATGCATGTGTATGAGCGTTGTATGTTTAATTTGAGTGGTTGATTGACATATATACGGTATATATATATATATACATGCATGTGTACGAGCGTATGTTTAATTTGAGTGGTTGATTGATATATATACGATATATATATGCATGTATGTTGTATGTATGTTTAATTTGAGTGGTTGATTGACATATATACGAGCGTATGTATAATTTGAGTGGTTGATTGACATATATACGGTATATATATGGGCACATGCATGTTTAATTTGAGTGGTTGATTGACATATATACGGTATATATATATGGGTACATGCATGTTTAATTTGAGTGGTTGATTGACATATATACGGTATATATATATGGGTACATGCATGTGTACGAGAGCATGGGTACATGTGTTTGTATGTTTAATTTGAGTGGTTGATTGACATATATAGTGGTTGATTGACATATATATATGGGCACATGCATGTTTAATTTGAGTGGTTGATTGACATATATACGGTATATATATATATGGGCACATGCATGTTTAATTTGAGTGACATATATACGGTATGATTGGTACATGCATATATATATGAGTAGGTTGATTGACATATATACGGTATATATATATATGGTATATATATATATGATTGACATACATACGGTATATGTACAACATGTATGTTTAATTTGAGTGGTTGATTGACATATATACGGTATATATATATGGGTACATGCATGTGTATGAGCGTTGTATGTCTAATTTGAGTGGTTGATTGACATATATACGGTATATATATATATGGGTACATGCATGTGTACGAGCGATGTATGTTTAATTTGAGTGGTTGATTGACATATATACGGTATATATATATGGGCACATGCATGTGTATGAGTGTTGTATGTCTAATTTGAGTGGTTGATTGACATATATACGGTATATATATATGGGTACATGCATGTGTACGAGCGTATGTTTAATTTGAGTGGTTGATTGACATATATACGGTATATATATGGGTACATGCATGTTTAATTTGAGTGGTTGATTGACATATATACGGTATATATATATGGGTACATGCATGTTGAATTTGAGTGGTTGATTGACATATATACGATATATATATGGGTACATGCATGTTTAATTTGAGTGGTTGATTGACATATATACGGTATATATATGGGTACATGTATGTTTAATTTGAGTGGTTGATTGACATGCATGTTTAATTTGAGTGGTTGATTGACATATATACGGTATATATATATGGGTACATGCATGTTTAATTTGAGTGGTTGATTGACATATATACGGTATATATATGGGTACATGCATGTTTAATTTGAGTGGTTGATTGACATATATACGGTATATATATATATATGGGTACATGCATTTAATTGTGAGTGGTTGATTGACATATATATGTTTAATTTGAGTGGTTGATTGACATATATACGGTATATATATGGGCACATGCATGTTTAATTTGAGTGGTTGATTGACATATATACGGTATATATATATATGGGTACATGCATGTGTTGCATGTTTAATTTGAGTGGTTGATTGACATATATACGGTATATATATATGGGTACATGCATGTTTAATTTGAGTGTTGATTGACATATATGTATATATATGTTTAATTTGAGTGGTTGATTGACATATATAAGGTATATATATATGGGTACATGCATGTGTACGAGCGTTGTATGTTTAATTTGAGTGGTTGATTGACATATATACGGTATATATATGGGCACATGCATGTTTAATTTGAGTGGTTGATTGACATATATACGGTATATATATATGGGTACATGCATGTGTATGAGTGTTGTATGTCTAATTTGAGTGGTTGATTGACATATATACGGTATATATATATGGGTACATGCATGAGCATGTGTACGAGCGTATGTTTAATTTGAGTGGTTGATTGACATATATACGGTATATATATATGGGTACATGCATGTTTAATTTGAGTGGTTGATTGACATATATACGGTATATATATGGGTACATGCATGTTTAATTTGAGTGGTTGATTGACATATATACGGTATATATATGGGTACATGCATGTTTAATTTGAGTGGTTGATTGACATATATATATATATATATATGGGTACATGTATGTTTAATTTGAGTGGTTGATTGACATATATACGGTATATATATGGGTACATGCATGTTTAATTTGAGTGGTTGATTGAGTGGTTGATTGACATATACGGTGTATATATATATGGGTACATGCATGTTTAATTTGAGTGGTTGATTGACATATATATACGGTACGGTATATATACATGCATGTTTAATTTGAGTGGTTGATTGACATATACGGTATATATATATGGGTACATGCATGTGTAAGCATGTTTAATTTATAGTGGTTGATTGACATATATATGAGTATATATATATATGGGTACATGCATGTGTACGACAGCTTGTATGTTTAATTTGAGTGGTTAATTGACATATATCACGGTATATATATATGGGTACATGCATGTGTAATGATGTTTAATGATGTTGATTACATATATACGGTATATATATGGGTACATGCATGTTTAATTTGAGTGGTTGATTGACATATATACGGTATATATATGGGTACATGCATGTTTAATTTGAGTGGTTGATTGACATATATACGGTATATATATATTTAATTTGAGGGGTACATGCATGTTTAATTTGAGTGGTTGATTGACATATATACGGTATATATATGGGTACATGCATGTTTAATTTGAGTGGTTGATTGACATATATACGGTATATATATGGGTACATGCATGTTTAATTTGAGTGGTTGATTGACATATATACGGTATATATATGGGTACATGCATGTTTAATTTGAGTGGTTGATTGACATATATACGGTATATATATATATGGGTACATGCATGTGTACGAGCGTTGTATGTTTAATTTGAGTGGTTGATTGACATATATAAGGTATATATATATATATACATGGCACATGCATGTTTAATTTGAGTGGTTGATTGACATATTGTATATATATGTTTAATTTGAGTGGTTGATTGACATATATATACGGTATATATATGGGCACATGCATGTTTAATTTGAGTGGTTGATTGACATATATAAGGTATATATATATACACGGGTACATGCATGTGTACGAGCGTATGTTTAATTTGAGTGGTTGATTGACATATATATATACGGTATATATATATATGGGTACATGCATGTGTACGAGCGTTGTATGTTTAATTTGAGTGGTTGATTGACATATATAAGGTATATATATATATGGGCACATGCATGTGTACGAGCGTTGTATGTTTGATTTGAGTGGTTGATTGACATATATATACGGTATATATATATGGCTACATGCCTGTGTACGAGCGTTGTATGTTTGATTTGCGTGGCTAGTGCAGCTTTACTTAAAAAAAATATTTCATATCACATCACTTGTGTATATATTGTTTCTGCATGCATTGTGCAGACTTGTGGGTAATACGTCTGCCCGTCTCCCCCTAAACTTTAATGATGAGGAAAATGACATGTGTATATATTGTGTATACTTAATATTGTGTCATCGAATTGAGGGTTTCTCAATGGATTTAGGCGATTCGCAATTGAACAATTTGAAATAAAATCCGCGGAAATCCGCGGAAAACTGCCATCCCTGACATATGCATGGTTATGATACAAAAATTAACATTTATTTTTAAATCAAAATGTATGATGGTATTGCTGTTTCAGCCTTTTGTGTAAGCTCATATAGCCCTTTGTTGTGAACTAATTTGAATGCTGTGGCCTTGAGAATGAAAATGTTGTGAGATGTACATGTTTTAACTGCCAGTTTCATAGATCTTGCCAACAGAACATCAGCCGTGTATATGTTTAACAGGTGTGGCTTCATATCAATCATGTGTGACAATACTTCTGTATGTGTTCATATCTAGAATAATCCTTATTATTCATAAGTTCATGATTTCATTACAAAACAATCATAAATATTGTTTTATTTATGAATACACAATGTCATTTTGAAAGTGGTCTAATGTAACATATGTTATATTTGGGATTACACTTTCTTAGTAAAGTACCGATTCTACCACTTTTGTTAGTTTGAGTTCCATCCGGGATTCAAACCCACACTCCCAGAGTCAGGCAAGTAAAATTGCCAGCCATCTAACCCACTCAGCCAGTGCAGCTTCCACAAAAATGGAAGTCGAACAACTGGTACTCAAGATCACATACTTGTACTTTACAGCGAAAATGTAATCCCAATCATAATATATGCTATAGTGTTTTTGTTGGTTAATACATAGCTGTTTATGATTCTCACTGACAGTTATTGCTTGAAGTGGAAAATGCTGGGTTTTTTGGGTTACCTTTTCTAGGTTATTTGTTGCAATGATTATTTGTCTTGGGCTATGTATATTTGAGGTTACATGCTTAAGGGTGGGGGTACCAACACCAATTTTCCTCCACAGGGTCACGTAAAACCTGGAAATGTCATGAATGTTTGTTCCAAGGCCTGAACAGAAACTTGTTCAATCTTTCATTAAAAATTGTTTGGGTTTGTCATAAGGAACAGGAAAGTACAACAGAACATTTTCATGTTTTTAATGTTATTCTGAGTTAACAGGTATCCAAAAGTGTGATTTTGTTGTAAATCTTCCAATATCACAGAAAAGTGGCATAATACCCAGGTAGATATGAAAAGGTCATGCAAATTTGTGATGTTATTAAGTGTATAAAAGCCACCTTTCAAATTTGCCACTGAAAATCGGAAGAAGATAATTATTTCTGTAATATGGATGATGACGACCAATAGTTTTCTTTTGCAGGTTCCCCTAACTGAAACAAAATTTGGGTGTCTGTCAGTCTGTTAGGATCTCCAGATCCTAAGGTTACAGGATTCTCAGAGTGGAGAAAGAAATTTGCCCAGAGTTTTTACAAAACAAACAACCGATACTTGTCATATTTTAATGCAATAATGTGATAGTGATATAATAACAATATACTAAAATGTAAATATTCATATTTAAGATATCACAGAAAATGTACATGTTTGTGTAGAGCATAAAATAACAGATCAGTATGAAGACGTTATTACATGTCACTTTGCGATGTAGGAGAGGACATAACTGACACTTGGTTAACTCATGTGTAACTGCCACAAGCAAGTTGTCTGCCCTTATAACCAAGTTTGTTAAAGGACATCCTACTTAAAGTCTGGTCCAGTGATCGATATTGTGAGCACCAATCCATATCACTGGGTTGTAACTGAGTCTGACCTAATACATGTGGTGATTGTTTGGGACCTATTCTAACAGGATCCCTGGGATCATAACACAGGTATGTTGAAAAAACTAATTAGTAAAGTGATTATAATGTGTTACTCATCAGTATGTCTACGGAACTGTTTTCTCAATTGGTCTTCCTACGCGTCACATTTGTTAGGGCTTCATGATATGGTGACAACTCAGTTGAAAGAACATAAGACTGTTGTAATGGACGGATCAGTATACATGATATATAATCTCTGTACATCATTACACATGTAGTAGACTATGTACATGTATCTCACTGAATTTAAAGTTGAAACCAATGAAATGACTAACAAGAGCTAGTCAGGAAGTAGCTTTAGAGCACAAAATGAAAACTTATAGATAGCAGAAATAATGACAGTACTTCCCAATAATGTTGAGGGTGCATGAATAGAAAGTACATCGCATTTCCTGATGTGGTAAGTGACACTTGGCTCGGTCAGAGGAAAGGTCCAAGATCAGATGTTAATGAGATCGTACACTACTCACATAGTCATCTATATGTTTCAACAGTTCATGATAAACGCTCCATAGTTCATGACAGTTTTAACTGTTGACCTCAGCCCTGATATGTAATACATCATGAGCCTGTTAATGTCAGGTGATAAGAAAAATTGGTATACATAAGAGAATCAATATTTTGCAGGTTTTTCAGTGAGATTTTTTGTTGCAAACTCCTTTCAGTATTATTCCACAATGTGCAAGCTTAATCACTGAATTCTTGCATGCCAATATCTGTTGACATTGTGCACTGAAATGCGTGTCTGATAAGAAAAAGCCAATGAAGAAAGCAGACCAACACTTCAGTTGTATAATACTATTGATATACGTTTGTGGCAACATGGTGTTGTTCTATCTGAACCCATGCACTCAAGGTCTTCTTTTGGCACAACCCTATAGTTTGACAGTTAAATCACGCTGAAACTCTCCCTCCTCCTTATACGATTCAACAGTCATGGGTGGCAGTGCTGATAGCACCTGTGTTACTTATTTGGTTGATAGTCTAGCACAGAAACAAAATGCATACTAATAAGCTTCCACAAGAAATATACACCACACAGCAGAATCTGTCCTTATTACCAAGCATACAACAGATTTAAAGCTGACAAAACAGGTCCCCCAATCCAAAATAATAACTAATTCAATTTTGAACGGTAGTGAACGAGGAGTCCGCTATATACAAGTATGTTGCTTCTGTCCATCATTTAGCCTAATGATTGAGAGTGGTGTATCACCACTTTAAACATTATTTTTATGTAAATATGGATGCTACTTGATGGTGGTAGAGAGCCTTGTGATACAGGTCTTGTTTGCATGGGTATGAAGGTGACAAATCTGGAAAGCTAATCAGGCAGAATATAGGACTTGAACCTATGATTCAGTGTTTCTGGTTTGCCAAAGGGAAGCAACTCTGAACATCAAATTGCATCGCCCTTGACACCTATCCATGACACATTAGTCAACAATTTGCTTGTCCTGAGACAAGTGATAATCTTGAAGGAGTACTTTTCAAATCTAGTTATGCCATATAGCCAGAACAATCTGTAGACCAGACAGACTTGCAGAGGGTATTCCTGTTTAACCATTGAGGTTTCAATCAGTCACTATGGACACGACAGTTGAGATCATTTTGTTGGGGAGGAGTAAGGAGTCTTGGACACATAGTTCATGATGGCTGACTGCAGCATGTGTGCCCTCTGAACTTCCTCTTCCTTGATGCGAGCGATCTCCATATCCCGGGCTCGCAGTCGCTCCTCCAGACTCACAATCTCCCGCTCCTTGTGATCCACCTGCTCTCGGTTCTTCAGCATCAGCTCTGAAACATCCAATATTGAAGTCTTTACTTGTCACAGTCATCTCCTAAAATTGCCACAAATATGGGTAGATTCTCAAAGTAATGAATGGACCATACACACAGGACAAAATTGACAAAATCTTATGCTAGAGCTGAAGGTGAGACTGAGTGAAAGTGTGAAATGGTTGGTTGACTGTTAATACACAGCAATATGGCCAGTCTGTAAATATTCGAGTCTGGACCAGACAATCCCGTGATCAACATCATGAGCATCAATCTGCGCAATTGGGATTCTATGAAGTGTCAACCAAGTCAGTGAGTCTGACCCCCCGATCCAGTTAATCACAGGATCGTCACGAGTAGGTATGAACTAGTTTCAGACTCAATTTTGAATACATGTCAAGGCCATTTAAGTTTAATTTTTTAATGACACGTGTCAACAAAGTCAGTGAGTCTGACCACCTGATCCCGTTAGTCGCCTCTTGTGACAAGCATGGGTTGTTGAAGACCAACTCTTACCCAGATCTTCACGAGTAGGTGAAAGTGTGAGTTCATTAACATGTCTTATGTATTGAGTTCTGTCTGTTGCAGTGTGTCATGAAGGTGACTTAACACAATGACCTACCTGACAGCTGTCTGTCTGTCTGACTGAGCTTGTCCCGTAGCGTGTTATGAAGATGGCGCTCCTCTTCCAGCTTGTTGACAGAACTGTTTAGATCCATCTTCACCTTGCTCACTTCAGCAAGGGTGATGTTGTTCTTCTCAGCTAGCTCCTGTATAAATGGAAGGCAGCCTGATCAGTACTACATAGACTCCTGGTATTGTTCATTTGCATGGCAACATTTGGAATCTGTCTGCCATGATCAGTACTACATTGCTAGCACTGTTTTTCTGTCGGGCCTGTTTCTCAATATCAGTATTGTATCATTGTCTTTATTTTGTACATGGCAACATTTGACGTCATGGAATCACAATGGTTTATTTAAAACCTGTTCAGAGATGCCATAATATTCAGTGGTGGAAATAACCCATTATCAACACTTGTTGACAGTAAAATAGTCGGCAGTGATATTTTTTCTGTCGATATAATTGATATCAAGCAAATTTGTATATCACACTGTACCAGCGTCCAGTTGACTTTCCAATGTTAATTATGTTGTTTGTTTAAATAATTCAACAAGAAATGGCCGGTATAGTGAAAAAATTATCAGGGCAAGTGATTTCACATGTGCCACTGTACCGGAGTACACTAGCAAGTTTAAAGTTATTTCCACCGAATATGAATATATGTTTGTCCCTTAGCAACCCAACCACCAACACAAAATGAACACTTCTCGATGATTCGTATCACTGACCTGTCCCATCTCCTCCAGCCTCCTCTTGTGCGTCTCCAGCTCCAGCGTCAGGTTGGAGTTCTTGCACTGCAGCTCCGACACCAACGAGGCCTGCTGGTTGCAGTGACTCTTCAGCTCATCCTTAGACGTCTGCAGCACACGGATCTTCTCCTCCAGCTGCTTCTGACGCTGCTCCTGTAGACACGACACAGACATGAGACGTTACTACACAATTATAGATATCAGCAGGAATAACATTTGCTATCTCAGAGGCCAGCTGAGATTGATGACAAATATGTTATGCTAAACAATTTTCATTCACAGCTCATTGACAAACAAAATGACAATTCAAAGATTATCTCTGCAACACACCTGGATAAACAGTATAAATGATTACAGCTTGTTAACACAGTATTACTATGTAAATATTTTCTGCATTCATACTGAGGAACTAAGAATGAGTTATGTGGAATATTGCTGCAACACACAACAGTAAAAGTTACTTTACACAGTTCTGACTGAGTGTAATATACTTTCTAGGAAGAAAAACTTCCTGATGCCTGATGCCATACAGTTATTCCAACTGTGTCACACAAAACGTAATAATATGAAAAAACAAACAAAATGCCACAGAATACCACAATCCAGTAGTGACCATGACTGAAAAGATCCTCACCAAACTAGTGAACCTGACCTTCATCAACTATTACAGATTTTGCCCCAATACAGAGTTTCTTATTTGACAAGTCTTACAGTGGTGGCTTAAGTAACTTTACTCACAACTCTAGCAAAGGTTACATTGGACAGCTGCTGAGATATATTTCCTCCCTACCTCCTCCGCCTTGATCCTCTGTTTGGTGTGTGTGAGCTGCTCCTCGGCCGTCATGCGGTCGGACATGTTTGCTGTCTTCAGCCGACTAACTTCTTCCTCCAGGCCCATCCTGTGCTCTTCCAGCTTCTGGATCCTGTCCCTCAAGGCCTTCTCCACATCATCCCCTTCCTGCTTTGTCCGCACGATCTACACCACAGGTGGAATAGTCAATCGGTGACAGACTTCAACAGTGTTTTATCATGTCTTGGTGAACAAAGTTAACTATGAGACTGTCATCCCTAGTCTTTTCAGCATTTCATCATCCTCAACAGATGAGGACAATTGCTGTTTTGTTCCTTTCTTTCTTATCCTGATGAAATATGCCATCTAGGTAGTCCAACCAAACATTCATGTATATCAGCATTTAATGCCTGAACCAGAGCCCCATTTCAAAAAGCTATCTTAGCGTTGAGGAAACCATACTCCCATAACTCCCATACTTTAAGCACAGGCTTACAATCACCGTAGGGCTAAGGCCTTTGGGGAAAGGAGCCTGGGATTTATCTATGATGGTAATTTTCTTTTAAATTGGGATTATTTTAGGAATTGAAAGGATGAATTTACGAATCCATTCAAATAAATAATGACTAACGAAGCATTAAAGCCTTTCTTGGTCCTGTAATGTGTAAAATACAAGCCACCACATGTAACAAAAAATGAAATGCCATATGTTGACTGGGTCCTAAATAGCAAAATGACCAATGCATGTGGCCTGTCAGTGTCCAATGTTCGACAACAGTGCAATCATGAGATCCTAAAGTGTTGTCATGTTAACCTACCTCCTTCTGCTTGTACTGCTCCATGTCCCTCACAGCATCCTTCTGTCTCTGCCGTTCCTGCTGCAGTCGGTCTGACAGAAAAACACCAGCATGCATATATACCTCTGTGTTAATGTCACATGGAATAAGTAGATCCAAAGTGAGGGGGAAAGAAGGAGAGGAGGGAACTGCATGTTAAATATACTGTTTTACTTCACATTAAAAGTGTGAAGCAAACATGAACAGGATGAAGCAAGCCAGAAATAGTGACGGTCGTCGATGTTTAGGTCTGGTGCTGACAAACCAAGAACCACAAAGGGGAAATCTCAGATTCAAACCCAGGGTTACAGGTTCCCGACATTCCTAAGGGATCAAACTATGCATGGTGCCCTCCTCCATCTTCCATCACCTACTCCCCCTCCTACTCACAATCATTAAATAGACAACAGAACACAAAGACAATGACAAAGACAATAAGACAATATTGCCCTCACCATCAAACTGTGTGCCCTTCAGCTTGAGCTCAGCCTGGAGATGGGTTATCTGCTCCTTCAGTTCAAACACCTGCTCCTGCTGATTCCGACACTTTCGGTCAAGGTCATCGACCTGAACAAGGGACACAGCTCTTGTTAGAGACAGCGGTAATATATATACTGGCAGTCGTCTAACGTCATTAATTATTCCTCATATGCAGGACCCATGCTTTTCTGCGCAGGGTTCAGTAGATTAACTCCCACAACAAATGACTCACCGATTTGCCCAATAAGTGTAAAACAGCTAAAACAAACACATCTTTGAACTAAAAGTTTCAAACAGCAAAATATCACAGAATCATGATGATGAAAGAAAATGCATCCACAGCAATACTTTTCCCATTATTAATACCTTTGCATGATCAGTAAATTGTCATCACAATATCATTAAAACCACATCTCATACTCAATTATGATACACCTCTAGTAACATTGGACAAGTCATGTCAGATGAACAATGTTCCTATTTTGATCTCAATGAAGGTTGTATAGGTTCTTGACCTATCTGCTTGAAGGTTGATTTGGATGAGAGTAGTGATCATGAATGATGTTATGATACCGCCAGGTCTCGGAGTCTCTACCTTGGTCTGCAGCTGGATGTTTTTGTCGTTACTCTCAGACAGCTCCTTCAGAAGCTTCATCTCGTCATTGGCTCGGTCCTGGACAACACAAACCAGTTGTGAGTTTATCAACTGTCACACATTCTATGGAAGGAGTTTGTGGATGGATGGCAGTGCTTGAAATGAAAGTGGTGTTGGGGATTCTTTCCGTGTTTCACCAATAGAACTGAGTCTAGGGATCCCTCACAGCATTATTGATGAGTGAGTGAGTGAGTATGATTTTACGCCACTTTGAGCAATATTCCAGCAATATCACGACGGGAGACACCAAAAATCAGACTTCACACATTGTGCCCATGTGGGGAATCGAACATTATTGATGACACTAAAGAGACATGACATACCACAAAAGAGACATAACATAACATTAAAGAGAAAAGGCATGACACTTAAGAACCATGGCATGACATTATTGAGACATGGTATGACATTAAACAGAAAGGGCATGACACAAACGAAAGAAGGCATGATATTAAAGAGACATGGCATGCCATTAAAGAGAAAAGGTCTGACACTAAAGAGAAAAGGCATGACACTAAAGAGAAAAGGCATGACATTAAAGAGAAAAGGCATGATATTAAAGAGACATGGCATGCCATTAAAGAAAAAAGGCATGACACAAAACAAACATGGCATGACAATAAAGAGAGAAGGTCTGCCACTGAAGAGAAAAGGCATGACACTAAAGAGATATGGCAGACACTAAAGAGAAGGCATGACACTAAAGAAACATAACATGACACTAAAGTGACATGGCATGACGATCAAAGAAAGAAGAAATGACACTAATGAGACAAGGCGACACTAAAGAGGCATGACACTAGAAGAGACATGGACATGGCATGACACTAAATAGACATGGCATGATATTAAAGAGACATGGCATGCCATTAAAGAAAAAAGGCATGACGCAAAACAAACATGGCATGACAATAAAGAGACAAGGTCTGACACTAAAGAGAAAAGGCATAACACTAAAGAGACAAGGCATGACATTAAAGAAACATGGCATGACATTATTGAGACATGGCATGACACTAAAGAGATAAGGCTTGACACAAACATAAGAAGGCATGACACTAAAGAGAGAGTAGTATGATGATTTTACGCTGCTTTTAGCAATATTCCAGCAATATCGTGGCTGGGTGACGTTAAAGAAAGAAGGCATGACACTAAAGAGACATGGGATGACACTAAAGAGAGATGGCTTGACACTAAAGGGAGAAGGCATGACACTAAAGAGAGGATGCTGAAACTAAAAAGACATGGCATGACACTAAAGAGAAGGCATGACACTAAAGAAACATAACATGACACTAAAGTGACATGGCATGACATTAAAGAAAGAAGAAATGACACTAATGAGAGAAAGGCATGACACTAAAGAGAGAATGCATGACACTAAAGATAGAAGGCATGATACTAAAGAGACAACATGACACTACAAAGAGATATGGCATGACACTAAAGAGATATGGCATGACACTAAAAAAGAGAAAAAGCAAAACTATATAGAGAGATGGCATGACAGTAGAGAAGACATGATACTGAAGGGACTAGCATGACACTTAAGAGAGAAGGCATGACACTAAAGAAACATGGCATGGCACTAAAGAGACATGGCATGACATTAAAGAGAGAAGGCATGACACTAAGGAGAAGGCATGACACTCAAAGAGAGATTAGTATGATGATTTTACGCTGCTTTTAGAAATATTCCAGCAATATTGTGGCTAAGTGGCGATTAAAGAAAGAAGGCATGACACTCAAGAGACATGGGATGACACTAAAGAGAGATGGCATGACACTCAAAAAGAGAAGGCATGACACTAAAGAGAGGATGCTGACACTAAAAGAGACATGGCATGACATCAAAGAGAAGGCATGACACTTAAGAAATAGAACATGACACCTAAAAAGTGACATGGCATGACGATAAAAGAAAGAAATGACACTAATGAGAGAAGGCATGACACTAAAGAGAGAATGCATGAAACTAAAGAGAGAAGGCATGACACCAAAGAGAAGACATGACACTATAGAGAGGACATGACACTATAGAGAGGATGATGACACTAAAAGAGATATGGCATGACGCACTAAAGAGAATGCATGACACTAAAGAAACATAACATGACACTAAAAGTGACATGGCATGACGATAAAGAAAAGAAGAAATGACACTACATGACACTAAAGAGATATGGCATGACACTAAAGAGATATGGCATGACACTAAAGAGAAAAAGGCAAGCAAAACGCTATAGAGAGATGGCATGACAGTAGAGAAGACATGATACTGAAGGGACTAGCATGACACTTAAGAGAGAAGGCATGACACTAAAGAAACATGGTATGGCACTAAAGAGACATGGCATGACATTAAAGAGAGAAGGCATGACACTAAGGAGAAGGCATGACACTAAAGAGAGATTAGTATGATGATTTTACGCTGCTTTTAGAAATATTCCAGCAATATTGTGGCTGGGTGACGTTAAAGAAAGAAGGCATGACACTAAGAGACATGGGATGACACTAAAGAGAGATGGCATGACACTAAAGAGAGAAGGCATGACACTAAAGAGAGGATGCTGACACTAAAGAGACATGGCATGACACTAAAGAGAAGGCATGACACTTAAGAAATAGAACATGACACTAAAGTGACATGGCATGACATTAAAGAAAGAAGAAATGACACTAATGAGAGAAGGCATGACACTAAAGAGAGAATGCATGACACTAAAGATAGAAGGCATGATACTAAAGAGACAACATGACACTAAAGAGATATGGCATGACACTAAAGAGATATGGCATGACACTAAAGAGAAAAAGCAAAACGCTATAGAGAGATGGCATGACAGTAGAGAAGACATGATACTGAAGGGACTAGCATGACACTTAAGAGAGAAGGCATGACACTAAAGAAACATGGTATGGCACTAAAGAGACATGGCATGACATTAAAGAGAGAAGGCATGACACTAAGGAGAAGGCATGACACTAAAGAGAGATTAGTATGATGATTTTACGCTGCTTTTAGAAATATTCCAGCAATATTGTGGCTGGGTGACGTTAAAGAAAGAAGGCATGACACTAAGAGACATGGGATGACACTAAAGAGAGATGGCATGACACTAAAGAGAGAAGGCATGACACTAAAGAGAGGATGCTGACACTAAAGAGACATGGCATGACACTAAAGAGAAGGCATGACACTTAAGAAATAGAACATGACACTAAAGTGACATGGCATGACATAAAAGAAAGAAATGACACTAATGAGAGAAGGCATGACACTAAAGAGAAAAGGCATGACACTAAAGAGAGAAGGCATGACACTAAAGAGAGAAGGCATGACACTATAGAGAGGACGATGACACTATAGAGAGGATGATGACACTAAAGAGATATGGCAGACACTAAAGAGAATGCATGACACTAAAGAAACATAACATGACACTAAAGTGACATGGCATGACATTAAAGAAAGAAGAAATGACACTAAAGAGAGTAGGCATGACACTAAAGAGACATGGCAGACACTAAAGAGAAGGCATGACACTAAAGATAGAAGGCATGATACTAATGAGACATAACATGACACTAAAGAGATATGGCATGACACTAAAGAGATATGGCATGACACTAAAGAGAAAAGGCAAGACGCTATAGAGAGATGGCATGACAGTAGAGAAGACATGATACTGAAGGGACTAGCATGACACTTAAGAGAGAAGGCATGACACTAAAGAAACATGGTATGACATTAAAGAGAGAAGGCATGACACTAATGAGAGAAGGCATGACACCAAAGATAGAAGGCATGACACTAAAGAGATATGGCATGACATTAAAGAGAAAAGGCATGACACTTAAGAAAGATGGCATGACACTAGAGAATGACATGATACTGAAGGGACTGGCATGACACTTAAGAAAGAAGGCATGACACTAAAGAGAGAAGGCTGACACTAGAGAGACATAACATGACATGACACTAAAGAGACATAACATGACATGACACTAAAGAGACATAACATGACACAAAAAAAAGAGAAGGCATGACACTAAAGAGAGGAGGAATGACATTTAGAAAGATGGAATAAAACTGAGAAAGATCACTAAATGACCCCATAATTCTCCTTACAAAAACCCAGACAAGACACCAACCTCCCTCTCTTGACGCATCTCTGACACATGGGAAGCTGCACTCTCCGACAGATCATTCTTCAGTCTGTTGATGACAAGATTGCAGTCAGTGACCTTCTGCTCAGCCAGGACTAGCTCCGACTCTGTCATGGACAATCTGGAGAACAAGAAACACACTGAGCCACCTTAAATATGTACCATCTAATGAGTTCAATGTTGCCTCTAAGGTACTTGACTCATATGTTTCACTTTCTTGAGTCTTGTCTTATTGGGATTTGTGGAAATTATTTGGCTTCCACATATCCAGGTGTTCTAATGATCATTAATTTGTGTCCTGTGAAAACTGAATCACATTTCGCATAAGAGTGATAAAAGTTACAATCACGGTTTGTTGCACATCTATGCATTAAGGAATGCAGTGTAGGCCATGTATACATAATGCCAGAATTCAATCAATAAAAACACAAGTGTAAAGACAATCAAGTATGCAGCTGAAAAAGCTACATTAGAAATGTTTGGCACAGTAACAGATGTGCAGATCCTTCAACTATATCTAGAATTTTATAACATGTAATACATTCTACCAAAGTCTTGACATCAGGATAACCACCCAGTGTACTGTCATTGGTTCATATGTAAACTCCAAATAAGCTGCATATTTGTGTAAAAGATGAAGACCAATTCACCATTACACGATAAATTTTTGGTTGCTTAGATACAAATATGCATGAAACAATTCAATAACCCAGTATCCCAACAACCCTGTGTGTGATTACCCAAGACTATTATAATATTGAATGTTTGTATATTACTTTGCTGCTAATGAGTTGAAAGCCCCTTTTCTATCTTCTAGGGCTTCTTGTAGAGAATTTACTCTCTGGGTTGCAGTTCTGAAAGGAAAACAAAACATATTAATGTCTGGAAACAGGAAATAGGTTACAATCATATCATTAAGTAAACACAGGAACATTTATTCCACAGAAATTGAAAATCATTTGTTGTTTGGCCGAATGTTTCTTAGTGATGACGTGTCTACCAAGTCAGCGAGCCTGACCTCCCGATCCAGTTGCCTCTTACAACAAGCATGGGTTGTTGAAGATCATTATGACATGGATCTTCACAAGTATTCTTCAGAAGTATCACTAAAATAATCCAATTACTATCCGATACTGTCAGCAACTACAACAATCTCAAAAGTATATGTATATACAGTCTAGCGACGTTGTGTAGAACTCTGATAACTGGATATAACATCTCGGTCCCTGCAAAATCCTTCATAATTTATCATTATTCAAGCTCTTTTAACTCGATACGGATGTCTCGATATTTCGGATATCGATATAATTTCATGGTCCCAAAAAGTAAATTTACCCTTTTAACTGGATATTTGCAAAGAAACTCGATATTCACCAACCTTTTATGGGCAAGCATCCCTCTGAACTGAGGTTGTTTCCACACGTTTACACACGGTGTGGAATGTAACAAAGGGATGCGGTAGTGTAAACAAATTCGGGTTAATTGAGTTGAAGTTGTCACTTGTTTGTTATTTAATTAGGATTAATTAAGGAGTTAATTAGGAAGTACTCACTGTTACGACTAAACACTACTGATAACGGATTATAGTTTCGAATCAAAACATGCAGAGAAGCGTTTTGTTTTCTTTCATAGTGATATGTGATGATATGCCCTGGTCGGATGTCTCGAAGTTCGGATAACTCGATATTTTTTCTTGGTCCCATGAATATCGAGACAACGCCGCTCGACTGTATATTGTATCAATCCATGAACAAGTACAATTCATCAACAGCTAATGAATCACTGCATCCCTACTACCCACCGCTTGGACTTGCGGATCAGGTGCTCCTGCTTGTCCAGCGTGTCCATCAGATCCCCGATCTGGAGATGCTTGTCATGTTCAAGCTGACTGATGTGTTTTGACAGACTGTGAGTCTGTTTGCGATGACTCTCCGTCAGAAGCTGACGGTCAGCATTGTTGTCCACAGCAGTTTCTGAAACACAACACACATAAAACACAACATACATGAAACACAACATACATGAAACACAACATACATGAAACACAACATACATGAAACACAACATACATGAAACTCAACTTACATAAACGACAGCCATTGTCACAGAAGTACTAACGTATGTCACTTGAAACTTGAATTTGAGCTTTAAGATTTTAATGTCATGTTGTCAGAGTGAACTGGGGTTCAGCAATATTTCAGTCATGTCACAGCATGTAAGCTTGATCATGTTCTGGGTGAGGAAACACCCAAATGATGCTGGTTGTACAAATCCTTTAGTGAATCTGATGTCTGGGTAAGGTGATGGCACACATAGTAAATGGGGTTAAATACTGCTTTGAACTGAATTCCAATTATATCATGGAATATCAGCTTAATGTGGGAGAAAACCAGAAGTGATACATGTCTCAGATGGTTACCTCATTCTTGAAACCAACAAGATTAGGTAAGCTTCTGAAAAACCTAGAAACATGGGGACGAACCAGGATTCAAACCCAGGATTATTACTTCCTGGCATAGCCAAGGGACATAACTCTGCACAGCGAATTACAACATCTTCACAACCAGGCCACCCTACCTCCCATGACACAAGGACTTAGGAGCATGATCGAGGTCAGTACAATCTCACAGTCAACAGATCCTGACAGCTGAGAGATGCATTATTCCACATTATTTCACATTATTCCATCATCACAACATGGCAAACTGGTGGCACTGCTCTACATATAGCACAATGACAGAGTCATCAAATAGACCCTGATTTCAGTCTACTCTACATCATTGGGATAATTTCATGGTGAACAAGAATGACATCACAGAGATGATGAAGACAGAGTGTAATAAACCTGACTGACCTATAGATTTGAGGATGTCCGAAGGAATATTGTTGCCCGCCAACTCAAGGCGAGATAAGGTTTTGTTGGATTTCAGCATTTCAATGAGGGCTCGTCCACCCAACAAACCAATATTGTTCCACCGGAGATCTGGATCAAGACAAACACATCAGAATATTGAACAAAAATGATACTGAAATCATGACTACATTTATATTATTGCTGTTGGACTGGGTCACAGATTTGACAAATAACCTACTTATAAAAAAATCACAATTATTTAGTAATTGAGGAAAAGCATCTTTCAAAAGGAACCTTGACAAACTGGCTTGTGTTTAATGATAATCTCTGAAATTAGTAATCAAACTGGATGCACATCTCGATGCGTCTCGATGCACATTACCTTCAACTGCAACTTTACATAAGCAAATTACATACTGGTACAACCCCAGAAACAATAATACTGAAACTGGAAAAATCAGTAGTGATTAATAAGTAAGTGAGGATAGTTGTAGCAGACGTGACACAATTGTATCAATAAACATGGCATATGAGCTCATATCACATGAATAAATAGATAAAAACACAACATTATATGTCACCAAATATTTGAGTGAGCCCCTTGTGTGAGCACTGAACCACATTGCCTTTTTTCAAAGGCATGGGACCATTTGCATCACATCATCAGCCAGCTTACAAACCAACTCTCTTCTGACACTTGTCCTGCACGGACGATCTTTCATCATTGAACAGTCATCATCATCATCCCCCTTCTCATGTTGGACAAATGCTTAGTAATCAGTGAGAAAAACTATACCAAACGTACCTAAAGCCCTGAGAGATGTATTGCGTTTGAGGTTAGCAGCCAGCTCGGAAGCCCCTTCATGGTTGATCTGGTTGTTGCGGAGGTCCAGAGCTTGGAGGGAAGAGTTGGAGCCAACGCCATCACAGAATGCAGCAAATGCCATGTCCAGCATACCCATAGCATTCCATTCCAAGCACAGGCTGAATATACAAAACATTAACATTTTTTACACTTACATTTTTTACGATGTCATACAATGTGTATGCCTCCATTTCGTCTAAAGTTTGGGAATAATTAAGTTGTCTTAAGCAATATTCAGGCTATATCACAGAAGGAACACCATTAACTGGCTTCATACAAGGTACTCAAGAGGAATCAAATTCAGACCTCTGGCCTGAAGTGAACACTGTACCTACTGGGCTATCCACCACTACTCAACATGTTGAAGATACTCAACTAGAATAATACACATCCAAACACTTGACATACAGCCACTATGATAGCATGGCTATACATTGACTATAGTAAATACTTGCCTAGGCTACTAGTGTGTTATATTTAGATTTCATATTCTTTCTTTCAAAAAAGGGATTGTGTATCTATAGTTTTTGGCCATGGGAACAGTGGCAATATACACTTGTTAGAGGGGACACAAAGTTTGTTGCCAAGACCATTAGTTGTAGGACATCCACTTCTGAGGCCTTGCTGGCTGAGAAGTAGATCACTGATTTTGTGTACTGACAATAATGTAATTTTTGGAGTAAAATTGATATTTTATACTTATCCTGACTCATGCTCTTTTTGCTTGTCTTCTTCTTCTTGCGAACATAGTGGAACACTTGTATCTCCCTAATTGAAGCTCCCTTCAATTTAAAATCACTAATTAGTATTCACCACGAGTTACCTCCCTTTCCACAAGCTGGGGAGCGAGAGCCACCCTCTACCCATGTGCCTCACTCTCTCCTCATATACTGAGCCCAACATTTGAATTTACAGGGAAATCCAAAGTGTTATTTGGGGAGGATGGGAGGGCTGACCTCATGAGTCAGGATAAGTATAAAATATCAATTTTACTCCAAAAATTACATATTTTTCCTTATCCTGACTCATGCTCTTGCTTGTAGCATCCTACGGAGCGGAGGTGGGAATATCTAATACTTTGGATTTTTAATAATTAGTGATTTGAACTGTGATGATTGTAATAACCCTATGGGAACTTCATAAAAGGCACTGAACTGATGAATTCCTGCTGCTAACTTATCAGCTGCCATATAAAGGTTATTACCATGTACTTATTATGATAAAGTATATATAACATTAATACAATGCTTAAGACTAATAGACTTAAGCTTGTTAATATGCTAGTATAAACTCCTTAGAGTTTGTTAGCTAAAATACTTTAAGATATAACATAGTACTAAGCTTAAGATATGATTAAACTTAAGCTAATTATATAATAGCAAACTCTTTAGAGTTTGTTAGTTAATATACTTATATGATATAGATATAATGCTGAGCTTAAGATATGAATAAGCTTTAGCTACATATATAATAGCAAAAACTCTGTAGAGTTTGTTAGCTAATATATTTTTATAATATGAGTATAGTACTGTGCTTAAGCTATAATTAACTTAAGCTACATATATAATAGCCAAACTCTGTAGAGTTTGTTAGCTAATATATTTTTATAATATGAGTATAGTACTGTGCTTAAGCTATAATTAACTTAAGCTACATATATAATAGCCAAACTCTGTAGAGTTTGTTAGCTAATATATATTTATAATATTAGTATAGTACTGAGCTTAAGATATAATTAACTTAAGCTACATATATATAGCAAAACTCTGTAGGGTTTTGTTAGCTAATATATTTTTACAATATGAGTATAGTAGTGTGCTTAAGATATAATTAACTTAAGCTACATATATAATAGCAAAACTCCGTAGAGTTTGTTAGCTAATATATTTTTTACAATATGAGTATAGTAGTGTGCTTAAGATATAATGAACTTAAGCTACATATATAATAGCAAAACTCCGTAGAGTTTGTTAGCTAATATATTTTACAATATGAGTATAGTATTGTGCTTAAGATATTATTAACTTAAGCTACATATATAATAGCCAAAAAACTCTGTAGAGTTTATTAGCTAATATGTTTATAGTGTAACCATAGTACTAAGCTTAAGATAAGATTAGACTTAAGCTAAAAGTATATAGCAAAATAAACTCCTTAGAGTTTATTAACTAATATACTTTTTATGTTAAAAACATAGTACTGAGCTTAAGTTATGATGAAACTTAAGCTATATATATATAATAACAAAACTCCGTCGAGTTTTGTTAGCTAATACCTTTATAATGTAAACATACTGCTTAAGATATGATGAAACTTAAGCTAATTGTATAATAAGCGAAAACAACCCTTTAGAGTTTGTTAGCTATGATATAAACCTAGTATTGAGCTTATGAAGGAAAACTTAAGCTACATATATAATAGCAAGAACTCCGTTAGAGTTTGTTAGCTAATACATGTTATAATGTAACCATAAAGCTTAAAATATGATGAAACTTAAGCGAAATATATAATAGCAAAACCCTCTTTTAGAGTTTTGATAGCTAATATACCTATATGATATAAACATAGTACTAAGCTTAAGATATGAATAAGCTTAAGTTACATATATAATAGCTAAAACTCTGTAGAGTTTGTTAGCTAATACATGTTATAATATAACCATATTGCTTAGAAATATGATGATACTTAAGCCAAATAGCAAAAAACTCTTTAGAGTTTGTTAGCTAATCTACTTATATGATATAAACATAGTACTAAGCTTAAGATATGAATAAGCTTAAGCTACCTATATAATAGCAAAACTCCTTAGAGTTTGTTAGCCAATATATTTTAATAATATGAGTATAGTACTATGCTTAAGGTATAATTAGCTTAAGTTACCTATATAATAGTAAAACTCCGTAGAGTTTGTTAGCTTAATTAACTTAAGCTATGTATAAAATAGCCAAAAACTCTGTAGAGTTTGTTAGCTAATGCATTTATCATGTAACCATAGTATTACTCTTAAGATATGAATAACTTAAGGTAAATATATATAATAACAAACTCTGTAGAGTTGTTAACTTATATATTGTATGATGTAATAATCATAGTACTGTGATGATAAAAGGAACTTAAGTAAATTATACATAGCATGAAGCTATTTAGTATTGTTATAAGATAAGTAAAATCTGTTAGATTGACTTATCTTCTCGAGAGAACTGTCAGCTGTTGTCGCGAGGACCATGGGATCGAATTGGTGTATACCTGAGGCGTCCTCGGTGGTGATATCTCTCAGATAATGGTTTGCAACCACCATATCAGTTCAGAAATAAACCCTCCATTATTTCAATCACATTTGTGTAGAACAATTGTAGAAGTTAAGCTATAATATCATGAGTATTAAGCTCATGGAGGGTCGGAATAGGTCCATCCATATATGCGTAGTATGACAGTTCTGATCCAAATGGAGATATAGTACATGAGACTTCACTCTGCGTAAGTTGATGATAGAGGAAATAATCTGTTGCATTTTTTCCTCCTGTTTGGTTTGGTGGAGATAAATTTACAGTGCTCTTGCTGGCCAACTTGATAGAATCATCGTATCATGGGGTCCAAGTATGTCATCCAGGCGTGTTCATAAACCTCACTTGTGAGGTGTTGGAACACTATATTCATATCCCCAGGTTGGGAAGTGAAATTTCCGTTTTATTCTCCAAACAGAAGTTTAGTAGGTTTACTAACCATCTAGTTGTGTTAGTTAGCTTGATGAAATTCAGCTGTAGTCTGAAGCGCTGTGGATTTAGATCCACTTGTATCTTCGTCTAGGTAATTAAGCTCGCGCGAAGTCCTTGATGATGTAGGTGCACAACCAGGTGTGTCTGTCCTCGTTGAACTTTATGTAAAATCGCCTGACTGCCGATCCCTCGTCTTAACTTGACAGGGGAGGTCTCTAATGAAGAAAGGCAGTCTAATCATGAATGTTCAGGTTAACTGGACTGTAATGAGGCTTGCTCGTTCACTGATATATAGTTGTCACTTGTGGCGTAAGTCTTGAACTGTGAATTGAGATCGACCTCTGTGTAGGTCGTTGTCCCTCAGCGGTCCAATCAGAACAAGGCATTTTGATTCTGTATAATACCAGCTGTGATGTCACGGTGTAGCGGGAAAAAACCCACCTTGAATAAATTCTTGTAAATTCGTTGATATTAGCATAAGCGTCGGTCTTCACCGTAGCTTCGAAGTTATCCGAGTGACCCGTGTTTGAGGGTTAATGGTAATAGCGAAACCTCCGGTATGAAATATCTCGCTCTGTAATTTTATGCTGGGTAGGTTATTTTCCTGGTTGTCGTGAAAGTAATTTCAGTTTTGAATATAATTCCGACTTCCTTATATATAAGGGTATAAACAACTTGCAAGTTGTGAGCTTGTAGACTGTATACATGAATGTATCGTCATAATTGTAGAATTAACGTTGAACTTGTTGTACATATTTCTTCTCAGAAACTTTGGCGATTAAAGAGTTATACTTCGCTGTAACAAGGCTGCTGTTCAATTTCGATATTGAATTGTCTGCAGATATGCGTAATGGTCGCATGTAGATAATCGTATCGTCGATCGGGATTGTATATTAGCAATTTATCACGGAATAGTTGATTTCTGTGAAGATCTATGAAATGTCGTTGACTAATAATACAGCGGCGTTCTGTGTTGTAAATAGCCTGAGCAATTATCTTGGCGTGGAGGCTTATAGGCGGCATCTGGCATACAGTTGATAATCAACTTATGCGGCGTCTTGAAACGGACTGACGAGTAGCTATATATGGCGAGTGGCTAGTATATGGAAACCTTGGAGGAGACTTCCTCGGTGAGCGCCGGAGACTTAGCGAAGTTCTCGAAGTATCCCTTCTAGATCTTCTGGGTGAAGTAGACTTGGAGCCACTTAGCCTTAGCGACCATCGCGAAGGTGTCGAAATCAAAACCCGATTAGTATATATATATATATATAAATATATATATGGCGCTTGCCGTGAACAGCCTCTGTGTTTAACAGGATGTGGGATCGGCGTGGCGCTTGCCTAAAATAGGGCCGCATGGATCATCTTATCATATTCAGAAGTCGTGTTCACGAAGTCTGGTGATAAGTGTCTAATTGATCGTTCTAGATCTATTTAGGCCAGCGAACATCGTCTCGTCATGGATTCAACAGAACCAATATCACGATTGTAGTTCTTATACTTGATATCGATGATCAACTTGTCTATGGGTTGATCTTCTCGGAGACTTGTGAGGAGCGTTGATAGTTTAGCTGAAGCTCTTGTATAGTCCCTCGATGTCCTTCTAGATGATGATGATCTGGATTCAGGTGTCCTGGGCATGCCTTAGCGAAGCTTCCTCTGCGTCGGTCGAGGAGCGGCGATATGACCTTCAGCGAAGGCTTCCGTGATGTCTGATGGTCGAGTCCACATCTAGGGATGAAACGCGCATAAGGTGATGATCTATCCTGCCTTAGCGAAGTCGCCAGCGAAGGCTGTATCTAGGTTCTTTCAGCGAAGGCTGTACATCTTCGCCGCGAAGGCGAAGCGAAGGCTGTACATCTAGGTCCGCCGTCAAGGTGGTCCGTGACTTCCTTTAGCGAAGGTGACATCGTCCTGGCTGCTACGTTGGCGGGGGTGCCTCTGGGGTGCTGTCACGTTGGAGCCTTCAGCGAAAACTTCGGACCCTGCTACGCCAGATATAGTGGTCCTCCATGATGTTCATAATTTGTCGCATCATGTCTTCTGGGATGGTCTGCGGCGAGGTCGTCGGTGCTTTATCTGCGGTGTTAATGGAGGGGTCCACCGGAAAATCGTCCGACATCAGTGTAGAGGCATCAGGCTGCATGGTGATCTCTGCTGATGTCGTTGTAGCTGTCACCGGTCGTTTCTTGTGGCGTCGTCGGGGATGATGATCAGCTGATCATCGTAGAGAGTCCAGGTCATCGGCTGGAACAATCTCGGTTGAGAAAGTCCTAGTAGACCGTTGATTTTCCCTCAGAGGTCGGCGCTGCCCTGGGTGTCGCGGCGTCTGCGTTGAGTGTTGGTAATGATGGGACCCTCAGGACGATCATCGCATATCTGCGTTGGTACATCAGGCTGCATGCTGATCTGAGCCGACATCGGTCAATCTTTGATGTACATCTGGTATGATGACCGGCTGATCATCAAACAGGCCCAAACTGCGATGGGAGCGGTCGGCTGTTGAGATGTGGTAGAAAAACCCTCTAGTCTTCTGCTGCGGCGATGGGATGTCTGGGGAAGCAGGATGCTTCTTGGAGATGGCGGACTCGTCCCACACCTCTCCACCACTCTAGCGGAAACACCACGGGGAGGAGTCGGCCAACAGCAGTAGACTGGCGAGGGTTCGGTGTATCAGTCATACTAGAGTCTGCATCGCGACCTATCTGCTGTGCGTGCCAAAGCGCAAAGTAAATATTAATAAAAGGTAGAATTGGATAAATTAGTACCGCAACTGCAATGTGAATATAATAAACATGGCCGTACATCATATTAAAGCGGATCAGCAGCAGCATAAAAGCGTAATCTGCAATAGTACAGAATTTTCATCAAGCGTAATCCACTGAAACAAACCGCGGCGTCCGTGAATAAACTGTAGAAAAGCGACTAAATATCAATATATAATCGTTGAAGGATACTAGCTAAACCTCTATAGATGTCTATCACGAGGGTAACTAACTAAATATATTTCAAAGGATATAGTGTGTCGGAGACACAGAAGCTCTCGTCCAGCTCACTGGGCGAAGAAGGAGAGTGAGGCACATGGGTAGAGGTGAAGCCCTCGTTCAGCTTGTGGAAAGGAGGTAACTTCGTGGTGAATACTAATTAGTGATTTTAAATTGAAGGGAGCTTCAATTAGGGAGATACAAGTGTTCCACTATGTTCGCAAGAAGAAGAAGACAAGCAAAAGAGCATGAGTCAGGATAAGGAAAATATCCAGCTTAAGTCTGGGCTAGTACAAGCAGCCGCACATACACATACACATGCATGCACATCGTCATATGAGCGAAATATTCTCAAGCACGACGTAAAACCCAATTTCACCTCACCTCACCTTAAGGTATATGTTGTATTACTACAGTTCCTACCCGACAATGGAATGATTCTGTCGCAGTAGCTTCCCAAGAGTTTCTGTTCCTGCACCTCGAATGTTGTTTCCCTGGAGATCAATATCAATAACAGTTACACTGACATCACCCTTGTTAGCCATGGTAATAGAAATATCAACAGTATCCATGGTAACGGCAACATGAACAACTTTAACATCAACAACACTGCAGATATAAGCTACAGTAATCACACTGTCTGTCACTTGTCCAAAGAAAGAGTCAAGTAAAATTCTGTACAGTCAAGTAACTTCTGCTAGTCCATACAATACCCATGTTACAACACTAAAATTTACTGAAAATGATGCTGCGAACCAGGGCTTGGATTATCGTAAGTGCCATACATTAACATTAACATACGCCTACCTTAGGGCTAGGAGAGCTGCGAAAATCTAGGCCCAGGGTCCTCTTCCACAAAGAAATCTTAGCACTCAACTGATCGTAAGTCCATGTAAAATATATGTCAGTTTCGATCACCATAGTGCTAAGATCATTTTGTGGAACAGGGGATCCTAAACTATTAAGTTTGGGCACCAACTGTCTTCCCAAAAGAAGTGACTCTTCTGGACTGTTGCTTTTCAATATATTAACAAGTTCTAAATACAACACCCAAAACAAAACACATTCCATTTTATTCTTACATCATGATCTAACTTTAATTCAAATGTTACAGATCAACACTAGCATTTGGTTCAATATCAGAACATTCAACATCTTTCCTACCTTCAGATCCAGCTTTTTACTGTAGGAATTGTGGATGAATCCTTGACACAGACCTTTGAGAGCTTCATGAAAGAAAATAAGAAGGAATACTCCATCATACAGTAGTCATACAGTAATCAATGATGTAACATTGCTGTCAACAGGCACAACACATATGCTATACGCACTCAAGTGACAGAAGTCAATATTCAGGGGTGGAAATAACCTTAAAATTGCTAGTGTACTCCGGTACAGTTGCACATGTAAAATCACTTGCCCTGATAATTTATCCACTATACCGGCCACTTTTCTTGTTGGTTTTTTAAATAAACAACATAATTAACATTGGAAAGTCAACTGGACACCGGTATAGCGTGATATACAAATTGGCTTGCCCGACAGAAAAAAACACTGGACTGGGGCGTCGGGCAATGGGTTATTTCCACCCCTGATGTTTATTTCATTGTATTTCCCTAGGAATAGTTTGTCAGAATATTTTGTTTACTGTGCTGTTTAGAGTATAATATTCACAAAATTCCAGCAATTGGACCTATCTGATGATGGTCCGTAAACATGGCAAATACATGAGTCATGGTTTGACCACTCCATCATGTCCATCATGGCCTATTCTGACTATGAGTGAGTAACTTGTGTTTTACACCGCTTTAAGCAATATTCCAGCAATATCATGATGGGGGATACCAGAAATGGGATTCACACATTGTACCCATGTGGGGAATTGAACCTGGGCCATGGGCATGACAAGTGAATGCCACTAGGCTACCCCATCACCCCGACTCTATCCAAGCTACCACAGAGGATGTCATCAAGCACTGAAGCATGGAATGACATTCAGCTGCAAAATGTTTTATGTGAACTAAGAAAACCTACCATCCTCACTGAGCATACAGTCAGCAAACTTGTACTCTGTAAACGTCCGATCAGGTGCAATGACCTTTCCCAGAACAGCACAGGACTTCGCAGTAAGGCTGTTGGTAGATAGGTCGAGAGTTGTCCGCCCCTTACTGCCAGCATGAGTCAAACTGAAAAACAAAACAAAACAAAAACAGTGAGTGAGTATAGTTTTACGCTGATTTTAGCAATATTCCAGCAACATCACGGCAGGGGACACCAGAAATGGGCTTCACACATTGTACCCGTGTGGGGAATCGAACCCGGGCCTTTGGCGTGACGAGCGAACGCTTTAACCACTAGGCTACCCCACTGCCCCAAAAACAAAAACAGAAATGAGGTGTAGAGAAAACTCACACATACTGTTGAGTATTTTATTGAAATAACAAAATAATATATCATTGTTCATCATGATTAAAATGTTAATATATACTACCCATCAAAAGTTTAGACTCACTAGTGTAAATGTAGCCACTTACTTGTCCACTGTTCTAAACTAGCTTTTTGCAAAATATTCCATACTGTTTAAAGGTACTGTTTAGTTATGAACTGGTGTATTGTAAAACATATTCGTAACATTGAAAAGATTATTGTCATGAGTTCAGTAAATGATTAAAATCTGTGAAAATTGGCGAATTCTTAACAAAACTTTACACCAAAACGCATCTGTTCACATGCACGACATTTGCTCATGCCTTTCGCAATTTGAAGCATCATCCTTGTGCAATTCATCTGCATAAGGTTTTCAGTTGGTTCCCCCAAGTTGGTGGAGAAATTCATCTTCGATGTAACCACATACATATACATAACATATAGTGAGTGCTTTAAGTGAGTCTAAACTTTTGATGGGTAGTATATGAACTGCCTAAACAAAAAGATATTTTTTATAAGCTGTCCCATCAAATGAAAGGATCAGTTTAAAAAATTGAGGCTGGATAAAACTTAATTCTAGAATTTTAGGGGTGGTGGGTTCATGACTGTGCAAGTTTTCCATCCTTCATATTTAACCTACCTTATTTCTCAATGTTAACTTTGATCCTTTTTAACGAGTCCATTTTAACCACAAGATTATTATCACTGAGTGCAACTTGAAAGAAAAAGGCAGTTAACACTGTTCACAAACTCTTACCACCACTGCTAATGTAAGTCTGCTGTTAGGAGTTTTTCATTAAATACATTCAGTCTTTCCAAGAGATAGCGTCCTCATGACACTGTGTTTTTTAGCATTGATTGATTATGATGATGAAACAAAATGCTCATATCATGTGTATAACAATGATTAAGAAGAGGCAAATGGTTCTTGGCTAAAACAAATGAATTTGTTTCATTTGGATCATAAACTATTCAAAACATTATGATGATGAAACAGATCAGTGAGTTTCTTGTGCACCTTTTAAGTTTCTCCACAATACAATCTTGGGCTTCCACGTGGTTGTCCTTGCAGAGACGAACATACACCTGCCTGAAGTCATCCATTTCACTGAAGCTAAAAGCAAAATACGGTTTGGACATTGACATGGTTACAATACAGAACAAATGACACAGTAACCGGAGAGCTATTAATTTTACCATGTTACAAGCTAAATATGAACTTCAGAACTGTATTTTTTTTCACTTGTGTATGCACAACCTAATTCCTTTTTTATGGAGGATTGGGCCTGTGGATACTGATGCTAATTTCAATAATTTTATGAAGACCATATACCAGGGTTTAACTCTACTGGAACAGGGTAATACCATACATGCCACCTGAGGTGTTGTTTGTAGATTTAAATACATGGCTGAAATTATTTGTTTGATTGGCATTCTAGAGGTTGGTGAGTCTAAAATTTGTTAAAATCTTGAAAACACCCCACCTCATATGGCTTGCTCAAGACTGTTGGGTACAAAATATGAGCTTGTGGAACATGTGTATAGAGAAAGTAGGACTCGCATGTCTGTAGTTCAAATGCAAAGTCGTGCTGGACTAGCATGTCTGTTGATGCAACAGCCACGGAAAGGATAGCAAAGTACCCCTGCACGTTTTCTCTCATACCCTATTTTCGAACACTCAGGAACAGTCAAGACGAAATTGAACGAAGACGAAGTGTCATTCGATAATTGGAAGGAGACCTCAACTCTGCCATGACTTTGATGTAAAATTTGCAATGTTTGGAAATAAACACGTATCAACATAACCAACATAAACGTTTAAATGTTCTACAAGTCCGTAATATATTATTTTCAAATTTGACATGAAATGCCGGGTTTTGGTTGTCATGATTTTATGTTTTTAACTTTTTATAGTAGACCAAGTATTTCCACATGTTCAGATCGTGAATATGAACGATGATAGAGCCAGATATGTCTAGGGATGTCTATATTAAAAATAACAAACAATTTCAAAGCGATTCGTGTAATGTTGTCTTTAGAGGAAATTGTCGTTGACTGTCAAAAAGATTTGTTGAGACACGTTTCCATCCAAGGAAACCTGTTACAAAAACTGCAGTGACTGCATCGGCCTCAAAGATCACACTGAAAGCATGCAATTGTATTTCTACCAATACAGGCGGTAGTAAACACTTGCATTACCCCTTGTGAACGAGGAACACCACACAATATCCTTCGCACTGCTTCGAAAATATTCAGAACGCCGCCATTTTGAACCAATGACGCTTGCCAAGATTCGCATCTTCTTTCAAGGAGAACGACATAAATTACTTCCCTTGGATGAAACCGCGATTGATGGCTTTCCCTAAGCGCAACGTCAATTAATTATTCAAATTTGATCAGTCCGGAGAACAAATCTACATTAAAATTGTATATTTGGTCAATTTTGGTTTAATTAGTACAGAAGTAGTGTCGATGTCTAAGAACAATACAAACGCTAAATGTGTTTATTCTAAAAAAGGACTTGATCCGGTCCATATAAACACACAGGCCCCCACTGCGGGTCAGAAAATCGATAAACTAAGCCCTAGTTTACTATCCAGCCCCCCTACATGTTATATACTAGTAGTAGGGGGGCTGGATAGTAAACCAGGGCTTGGTTTATCGATTTTCTGACCCGCAGTGGGGGCCTGTGTATAAACAGTGAGTGTGCAAATCTGTATGTACATGTAATACCAGAGACCCGGTCTCTGGTAATACTCAGGGTTGTAATAAACGATATATCATTCATAACTTTTATATTAGGCTCATTTACGTGAAATCAGGCATTCTCCGATGTGATTACATGTCAACCTAGGTATTAAAAGAAAATCAATTATCGACCCTCAACTCCATTCACGCAGTCACATTTCTCAAAGTGATTTTCTTTCATAAAGGGTTGATTGAGGATGGTATTATAGATCATCCAGTGGAAAGATTTCCGCCCGTAACCCCCGTATTTTTTTAAAATCATTATATGACTAAGAACATACGCCTATGATTTTTTTTATATAAACAGCCTATACCTAATCCTAAACCCTAACCCTAAATATAACCCCAAACATACCCTAAACCCTCGAAATAATCCTAATACATGTAAAGAGAATACATTTCAAGCGGGGATTACGGAAACTCTTACCTCTAGATTTACAAGCTTGTAAATATCTTGTAAAATGAGATTAAAAAGACATTTAATTATTTAAAAAATTTTAAAGATGATATTTTTTTCTTTGTAAATATTGACAAAGAGAGATAATTTGTATGTAATGTCATAAGATTATTCTGTATGGGCTAACCTCCTGCTATAGTGGAGCTTGTCTATCACACAGACTCTGAAACAAATAGGTCCAACAAATGTACCCAATAACCCATGCAAATCTAGAATGTGTGTGGTGTCTAGATTACCAGTTATAGGAAATGAACAACGACCCTGGGCCCCTTTTTATTATATTTTATGAATATTATTTATGAACCGTTTTTCAATAAAATATGTTCATTTCAGAAAGTAGATGTTAGTCTATAGTGGCGCGTGACATTACTTAAATTTGCCCTGAGCTATAATTAGTGCTATGTGTACAGTATGCTACCGCCGTTTTCACATTTATTAAGAAATACTGATATCTTGAATTGTTTTAAAGATATCTTGAATGAAAATAGAGACATCTTGTATTGAATTGAAGATGTTATGAAACGAATTAAAGATACCTCAAACATTACTGAATAATTTACCGTTCGTAAATAATTATACTGATAATGCATTAACATTCTGCAACACAAGTGTAGTTATCATAAACTACTCAATATTTACAATATGACAAAACAGCCAACTTATCAAAGCGCAAACACAATATCTTTACACATCACGTGAATATGTATGTACTACAAAAATACTCAAACAGACTAACCTTCAGAAATGACCCCAAGAGCTCCAAAATAAATGTCCAAATAATCCAAATATTCGTTATTCAATACCCACAAGTGCCTTGTAACCAGTTGACAGTCAGGCGCGTAGCAAGCCATTTTTTTCGAGTAAGCCCGATAGGTTTCAAAGCTTTATATTTAGATAGCACTGAACCCTTGCCCAACCTTTTAGCAACAATCACGTGTAGGCCCGGGTTTTTTTTATAATGGTGGCTACGCCCCTGATAGTAGAGATGTTCTGAGCTGCACATAAACTCAAAACTTTAAACAGGGGACAGTAAGCTAATAAGGTTTACGACAAAAGGACAGTAAGTGGCGCGCTTGGGGTGGCTATTGTGTGGCAGTGCTCTAGGTGATTGTGATTGAGGCAGAAAACTCATGCAGTAAGCTGAGAGAGGGGTTTAGAAAAGCTGAAGAGTGAAGTATATAATGTTTAAAATATACTAAACTGAAGATTTATTTTGTTAAAACTAAAGAATAAAAACTCTACAAACAGTTCATCCTGTCACAGATAATAATAGATATCTGTAATAAACTTCATAACATCGCGAAATGAATTAAGGATATGATAAAGTATAATAATGATACCTTGAAGAGCATTGCTGATATCTTAAATTGGATTAATGATATCAGAATAAGATATAAGATTTATACAAATGCATGTTTTAATGATATCTGTTATTCAGTTCATGAAATGATGCAATTAAATATAGATATCTTTGATCAATTAAGGACATCTTAATTGTTCTAAAAATATTTTCAATTGAATTGGAGATATCTTGAATTGAATTAAAGATATCACTAATTGAATTAAAGATACCGCTAACCGAATTAAAGATATATCTCACAGAGTTAAAAATATCTGTAATGCGTTTGTGGATATGTATAAATTATTCCAAGCTATCTTGAATTGAATGTGAAATATCTTGAAATAATTTCTAATATAGTCATGTACATGTACATTATGAGCGTAACTGTTCAGTTGTTCATGGAGGCGGTGGGGTAGCCTAATGGTTAAAGCGTTGGCTCGTCACGCCGAAGACCCGGGTTCGAATCCCCACATGGGTACAATGTGTGAAGCCAATTTCTGGTGTCGCCCGCCGTGATATTGCTGGAATATTGCTAAAAGCGGCGTAAAACCAAACTCAGTCAGTCAGTCAGTTGTTCATGATATCTCAATAACATTTAACGATATCAATAATTCTGTTTTGGATATCAGAAATTACTGAAAGATATCTTCGATTATTTACCGATATCTTAAAAACATTATTGCCATCTTAAATAGAATACACATTTCTATAAACAATTGAAGATATCTTTATTTTCTTGATAAATGTGAAAACGGCTTGCCATACTACAGTGTGTTAGTGGGGTGACATACTCTCCTTGTATATACATGTAGTGGATTTGCAGACGGACGATTGCACTGGCTGTGACATCTATATCACACTGACTTGAAAGTGCTGAAATTGTTTCTGCAGAGCTGTCGGTGTTGTATATATGGTGTAGCCATGTTTGGAATGGAAACTGGGTCTTCGGTAGCCTTGCTAACCGACAACTTCACAAAGGAGCTCGGCCTCATTTCAAACCACATGTTCGCAGCTTATTTGATCATGGAAATGTTATTACAGTTATACTGTTTTCCGAGTTTAATTATATCTGCAAGTATTAGTTAACAGTGTATGTCCCCATCAGCCAATGCTTGTTTTATAATGGAACTAAATAGATCGGTGTTCGGAATTGGTGACTTGCTTGATTATTTACAGACCGCCGTCCTATATCTGGAATATTGCTGAGTGGCTGAATATAGCGCTAAACGCTTATCCGTGTTCTGATTTCCAATCAATAAGGAACGGTGGTGTAGCCTTGTGGTTGAAGCGTTTGATCGTCACGCCGAAGACCCAGGTTCGATTCCCCACATGGGCACAGTGTGTGAAGCACATTTTTGGTTTCCCCCGCCGTGATAATGCCGAAATATTGCCGGAATATTGCTAAAAGCGGCGTAAAACCATTCTCACTCACTCCAATCAATAAAAGTTAAAGTATAAAAAATAACTGCAACGCTCGTGCTATTGTATACATAGCTAAAATACAGTCGAAACAATTTTGTTTGAAGAAATAATATTTATTCATGATCAGTGTGTAAAAGGACTCTAGGAATACAAAATGCACACACCCATATTACTTATTAAACAGAAAACGTATAATATTGGGATTATTGCATTCAAACGTATTTCAAATGGTATAAGTCAGTTTCACATAATTTGCTTTCTGTTAATCTTCCGTAGTCAACATGGCGCTTCTGGAAGAAACGAGGAATGACCTCTAAATAGTTTTATAATAGTTGACATCAAATACGTATGGAGAGAGGGCTTTTCTAAGTTGGATTACTTGTGCCCAATCCTTTTCTTGAATGAATAAAATATGTTTCAGTCAATACGTATAACTATTATTATACAACGACACTACAGTCCGCCCACACATTTGATATCGCACTGATGGAAATTGTTTATGATGATCAGAACAGACAGTTGGTCTTGTATCAAGTGTGTTACTAATACAACATAAACTGAATTTATGAGGTTACCCCACTGCTATAACCTATAGAGAGAAATTGGACATCGTGATAAGACGTCCCAAAACACTCACAGCTAAAGAGTCATTTGAATTTACATTTGAGATTCATCAGAGATACTCTATATCTATATGTACATATTGCTTTCCGGGGCATGGTTCACAGTACAACTGAAATACTATTGCAATTTGAGGCAAACCGAAAGTATGCACATTTATATGGAGGTAGCGACAGCGAACCTTTACATGGTTATAAGCAAAGGGTAAGTAAAATGGAGGTTGCGGGGAAATAGAAAGCACACGCGTGCTTGTAGGAAAAGAGAACGCAGACGTGTGCTTGTAAGACAAGAGAAGAATACGTGTGCTTGAAGGAAAAGAAAAAGCACACGCGTGCTTGTAGGAAAAGAGAACGCAGACGTGTGCTTGTAAGACAAGAGAAGAAGACGTGTGCTTGAAGGAAAAGAAAAGCACACGCGTGCTTGTAGGAAAAGAGAACGCAGACGTGTGCTTGTAAGACAAGAGAAGAATACGTGTGCTTGAAGGAAAAGAAAAAGCACACGCGTGCTTGTAGGAAAAGAGAACGCAGACGTGTGCTTGTAAGACAAGAGAAGAATACGTGTGCTTGAAGGAAAAGAAAAAGCACACACGTGTTTGTATGCAAAATGAAACCATGAACATGTTTGCAGGCAAAGTGAAAGTACACATGTGCTTGTAGGAAAAGAGAAAATATTCGTGTACTGTAAATTTACCACGAACATGGTTGTAGGTATAGATGCATACCAGACACAAGGTTGTGAACACATCACCATATCACGAACGAAATCACATATTTGGAGGTACATACAAAAGATGAATTAGCCATACATACATGTACTTTTGCAGTCTTCATGGCAGTATTTTGAACCATATGACTGAACAGAAGGAACATGTCTATGTGAATACAACACACAGGCAAATGCTAGACTGAAAAGAAGTGCAACTTGTTCACTTGCTCATCATCAGTATGCAACTACTCCCAATGCAAAACAAAACACACACGCGCGCGCATGCCGCACGCACACACTTTACTTTTCGATAAGTGCCATATCAAACGATTGCCTACAGCTCATACGCATGGATGTTTTGCTCACAGATAAATTCCTTATGCATGGCGCCAAATGATCTTTCTGTTCGCTCATCCATACGTTGTCCTCCTTCTTATGATCCCATGGGATATATTAGTCATTCACCGCACTGGTCTATAATGGTGCCACCTTCTTGATGCAGAACATGCCTCTAAGGCGACGCCAGGCACGGACGAAAACGGATTTCTTTGGCGTGTTCATTCTGCTGGCAAGCATTGGCACGGAAGAGTGACCAGGCGACATCAGAGATGCAGTGTCAGCAGAGGAAGACGCAGCAACGGATCCATCGACGGCACTCTCTTGCCCATCTTCTGATTGAGCATCTGTGTTGACCGAGTTGCTCGTAGTATCGTTGCCATCATTGGTAGATGACTTGGACATCTTGATTGGCGGCAGGGCATACAGGGCTCCCAGACCGATGCTGGTCTCAAGCTTTGAGGTCATGTCCGTTTCTACTTCATTAACAGCAGGTATGCTTGGTTTTCCTGTCGACCGTGGAGAAATCTTTAGTGGCGGTAGACTCGATCTTCTAGGAGATCTGACCCTCAAAGGACTAGTTTCAGAAGAAACTTCTTCGGTTGTATTGGCCTTGGTAATCTCCAAATGTGATATCATTTCTTTCGTTGTATCGTTTCCACATTCAGTTTTGTCAGCAGGAAGATCATGGGAAGAGGTGACCCTTACAGGAGATCTAACTGGTTCTGTATCAGCTTCAGAGCTTCCAGGTGTTGGGCTGGTTGACAGGGTTTTGACATTGATTAGTTTACCGGTCGACCTTGGTGACAGCGAAGGTAGAACGGGAGACACACGGAGCGCTGGTAGGGCATCAGCTTCAGGAGATCCAGGTCCTAGGTGTCCTGACACAGATGACCTGGTGGACCTTGGAGAAATCTGTAATGGTGGGAGGGTTGCCCTGGGTGACCTCACTGGTCCTGGGTCAGGTCCAAATGGTTCATCAGCAGTGTTACCATCTGATAATGTGTCTGGGACAGTTTCTACTTTGAATACGACTTCTTCAGCTGAATCGCTCTCACTACAGGACTCCTTTACAGCCAAAAGCTCTTGCGACGAACGCTGTCCTGAAAGAACAAGCTCAATAGAATCACGCCGTTCGAAGGAGAAGGTTGATGGGCACGTTTCGGAAAGGTCAGTTGTTGACCGTCCACCCTGTCCAATCAGATCTTCTTCCGGTACTTCGGACATTTGACAGACACGACGGAGACTTTTAGTGTGGATCCGACTCCCCCGTCTGTCCTTAAGCCTGGCTAATATATCCCTGTGTCTGTATAAAAACTTTCGGTTTGGTTTCTCTGGTGTTTTTCTCTCACGGATAATTGCTAGCAACTTTTCGTGGTTATTGGACTCCGATTCTTCTCCAGTCTGAAATGCCGCTATTCGACTACAGCGTCTGTAAACCAGACTGAGGAAGCGCCTAAGTTTTCCTGGCTGGATGAACTTTCCTTTCGAGTAGACTGGCGGTGGGAGGTGCTGCGACACTTTGAGTTGACGGGCAACTTTGTGGACGATTCTGTGTACGTTTCGTAAGGAACTTTGGACAGTTGTAGAACGACCTGAGAGGAGACAAAGTTTGGACACGAGGTCGATGCTGTGATCGATCTCTCTTTTCAGAAGAAACAGCCTCTTTCTCTCAATGATATTGGTTTCTACCTGGAATAGGAAGAGACAGATTATATATAGACTCAGTTTTTCTACAGACTGCGATTATAGAGATGGAATATTGAGTGGAGCGTTGATAGAAAGTATGGTTTAGTTTGGTTGTTGTTTAACGCCGCACTCAGCAATATTCCAGCTATATGGCGGCAGTCTCTACATAATCGAGTCTGGACCAGACAATCCAGTGATCAACAGCATGAGCATCAATCTACGTAATTGGGATACGATGGCGTGTGTCAACCAAGTCAGCGAGCCTGACCACCCGATCCCGTTAGTCGCCTCTTACGACAAGCATGGGTTGCTGAAGATCAATTCTAACCCGTATCTTCACTGGTTCATAAAAAAATTAAAATAAAGTTGGGATAAAATTTAAATCAATCTCGGTAACACTGCATAGAAAAGGGCGGCTAGGTCATCAGTGCACTGATACGTATCCCTGTAGAAGGATAGTTATCAAGTATCACTGCATGACTGACTGACTGATTTTGGTTTTACGCCGCTTTTAGCAATATTCCAGCAACATCACGGCGGGGGACACCAGAAATGGGCTTCACACATTGTACCCATGTGGGGATTCGAACCCGGGTCTTCGGCGTGACGAGCCAACGCTTTAACCATTAGGCTACCTCACCGCCCCATCATTGCATGAGGGGCGGTGGGGTAGCCTAGTGGTAAGAGCGTTATCTCGTTACACCGAAGACCCAGGTTTGATTCCATGCATGGGTAAAATGTTTGAAGCCCATCTCCTGTGTCCCCAGTCGGTAATTCTGGAATATTGGGCGCAAAAACCCAGCTCACTCATTTATGACTGACCTTGTCTTGTGTGATTGCTGAAACCTTGATCTTGTCCAGCCACAGACGCAGGGTATCTATCTGCTCTTGGACCTCATGACTTGACTCGCTCTGGGACGCTGGAAGGAAAATACAAAATTTATAATTACCATATTCTCTCGCCTCATATTTACCAGGTGAAATATAGACAGACAGACAGACAGTTTTATTCAGTAAAAGGCCACTGGCCATGATACAGACAGATGCATGGTCACACATCACATGAAAAGCACATGTAGAGTTATAAACAAGTGGAGTGGAATCTTCCTAAACTAAAACACACACTATTATGCCGCCCACACTTACGGTTAGTAAAACCTGACCATTTTGGACTTGCTCCAGTTCGGACTGAAATTGTGGACATCAAGGGACCAAGTCATTGGGGGCGACTATTGAAGGCATTTCCTATTTAAATAATACTGCTATAGTTTTATACGTATACCTTTAAGGCTTTCCAGTGTAGATTCACGTGCATTATTTGACACAGTGGCGAAACCTCCGGACAACTGGTTAGATGACCAGGATCGTTAGATGACCAGAGGCTCGACTGACTGACTGAGTTTGGTTTTACGCCGCTTTTAGCAATATTCCAGCAACATCACGGCGGGGGACACCAGAAATGGGCTTCACACATTGTACCCATGTGGGGATTCGAACCCGGGTCTTCAGCGCGACGAGCCAACGCTTTAACCATTAGGCTACCCCACCGCCCCCCAGAGGCTCGAGATAACAGATACTCGGTAACCTCTGGTGGTCGTAAGAGGCGACTGAATGGATAAGGTGGTCAAACTCTTTGACTGGGTCGATTGCATGGAGCGATGCGCATGATAACAACCACTGGATTGCCTGATCCAGACTCTATTATATACGGGTCGCCGATCAGTAGCTCCTGTGCAGGATTAACAACCCAAAATATTAAAGTTTTGATGATTAAAACGGTATTTATACTGTGAGATACTTATTGTTATGAAGCATGTGACGTAATCTAAAATCCCTGTATCATAATTATGCAACTCCAATGAATGACTATTTCTTGTTTGTTTCCATTGTTAGCTACCATCAAACAAAAACATCCATGCATGTTTTTCCACGGTAGTTAAAGGTCCGGGTTAGAACAGGATTGGGTGGTCAGGCAAGCTAACATAGATCGATGCTCATGATGTCAATCTCTGGATAAGTGCTGTATTAAACAACAACCAAAATATTGATAAATAATTTGTCAATTGGCAATAGACTATTACGAAACACCGAGAGTTCCAATAATCGATACATAGGTCATTACCGGAATAACTTGCTGATGTCTTATAAATAGTGTGTGAGTGAGTGAGTGGCTTTTAGCCAAATTCCATCAATATCATGGCGGGGGAGACCAAAATGGGCTGCACACATTGTATCCATGTGGGGAATCGAACCCGGGTCTTCGTTGAACGAGCCAACGCTTTATACGTAATCATTAAAACTATAAATTGTTATGTTGAAGATAAGAATTATTTTTTTTAAATAATTTAAATATACGCGTATTTAACTAATAGTGGTGTTAGGGTTGGTAAAGAATATTTACAATTGAACAATCTGTAGCACAAAAACTTAAGAATCAGCATACTAAACTACTTGGTAAAAGAAAGTCTACCCATGTTTGGAGAGGCTAAAAATGTAACAAAAGATGAAGACTATAATGGTTATTAGTCCAAGATTTATTTGATACGGGGCTCGTGGTTATGTTTTGGACTCTATAAGTTTGTAGTCATTTAGAAACGACAGTTTGGTAACGCCTTGACAATGTTTGTAAATTTCTGCTCAAACAAGTGTACTCTCTTTTGCCCTTCAGTATAATATGATGTATTTCTATACTGTCGTAAAACTCTGTCCATATGTGATACAAGTTGGCTCACATGTCAATATTTCATTTACATATTTGTCCACCTGACGAACACGGGCCAAAACGGCGTTGTCATATATATTCATAGAAACGAATAAGGGAACACATGAAAGTACAAGTGTTCCTTTATTTATTTCCCGAATTTCACTCACAGTGCAATACATACCTTGTGAAGAAACCTGGAAAAGAATAAAGGAACACTTGTACTTTCATGCGTTCTCTTATCCTTTCCATGAGTAATATATTTCAGAAGAAAGGACATATATATGCGGACTTAAAGTGAGAGCATTGAACGAACAAGTATACTTTACAAACTTTTACTCTCACTATAGCTGCCAGTTCACAAACCCAGTTCGTACAGAATGTTCCAATAAGTATTTTATCAAAAACGTAAATTTCATCTCACCTGCCCGAGTCAGTGACACGCCAGAGATGACTTTCTTAAAATCAGGCATCTTGTCGAACATGAAAACTAGTGAAAACAGGAGAGAAACAAGGCGCAGCGTTCACAAGTGAATTACGCTGTCATTCAGACTGTCTATGACGTCATGTTACTGTGATGTCACTAGCGATAAATGTGTCGCGACCATTCGGGTCATTCCGGGAACGTCGTATGACCTTCTGCAGGTTACCGAAAGGAGGGCCACATCCCAATGTAGTCATGACAGTGGTACGCTACCTCCACACGCTATTTGTCCACAATATGTGACCAGATTGTTCTCTTTGGCGTAAAACAACAAACCAATCAACCAAATAATCTTTTAATAGAATAATCTATTCGGCGCAATTCTCTGAACAGAGTTGCATCTCTTGGTACGCCAGAAACCTATGGTCGTTGTTTTTATCCCGGTTCGACCCGAATATATTTGCGAGGTATTTTAGCTCCACACCAGTGCTCAATGGTTCCTACCAAAGTGTTAAACGCCTGAATGTTGCATAACCATTCAGCCCAGACGCAGTGACTTAACTGGAATACTATTTAAAGCAGTGTTGATTAAACCCAACTCACTGACTTACACTTAGAACTTCATCAATTCTGGTATGTAATAACAGTTCATTCAATTTGGTTAAAGCATTCTCTTGATTCAGTTTTCCAAATGGGTTCAATATGGGAAGCTTAGTTAGGGATTGCCCCACGCTGATATTCCTGGAATACCGCTAAGGCGGCGTAAAATGTCACTCACTCGCTTGAATTGAAAGAAACTGTTTACACTTAAAGCTGTAATTAAAGTCGTGGTGTGGTTCCACTGTAGGAATAACTATGGTAACCGAGACATCATTCATATTATCACCTTTAACTGCGGCCGCGATAAAGCGACAATGCAGCAACACGAGACGTAAAGAGGGGTGATGATTTTAGGTGTGTGTGTGTGTGTGTGTGTGTGTGTGTGTGTGAGAGAGAGACAGAGAGAGAGACATAATGTATAATATATTATGGGAAGGAAGGAGGGGTGTGTGTGTTTTGTACATGACATGCAGGGGAGTGTCACCTTAATCTTTTGTGTGTGTGTGTGTGTGTGTGTGTTGTCATTCACATCTACTTGCCTCTCCATAAAAATCATCATCACCCCTAGCCATAAATTATTAATGGTCCCTTAACGTTTAGATGCATATTTATATCACGACTTGTCAGCTTGATATGGGAGAAACTGTTGCATGCCTCCATTGTTGACCACTTTGATTAAACCCACAACCACGTGTATGGTGCTGGCAAACCCACGAAGCATATTGGGACAAACCAGGATTCGAACCCACGACCATAGGCTCCTGGGATGTGACATGTTCAGTACATTCAGAGACAACGGTGATTATTGATGAGCTGTAAACCTGGTCAGTAACTTACGAACGCTAATGGATACAAACACAGAGCACCCTGTTGTCATTGCAAATCGATACTGGGGCTAAATGTACGCCGACATGACAGAAAACTTTCACGACTGTGTGTGATAAATTCTCTGGTTGCCAATGTTATATTTTGTTTGTTTGTGTGCACGTTTAAGGTTATTTGACACAGTATTTACATGTCATTGCAAGTACAGTACAAACATATTTACGTTATTTATTAATGGAATGGAGACTGTTCCAGCCCAAGGCGACATACGCCTGTCGGAACGTGGTTCAATGGGATCGATATTATTGAATTTCGGTTGACAGTTTCCACATATATGTCATTGGCCTGCCATATTTTCGTCGACGGAGAACATGGCAACCGGGAAGTGAGTCAGTGCAAGAAATGTCCGGTCGTAGTCGAGTATGACATTTTGCGGAGAAGACTGGCTTCGTGGCGCGAGACGCAGACAAGGTATGGTTTTAATGTAAACATTGTATTCCGTGTCATTGTAATCTGGCTAGTTCGAGTCGTTTGGGGTGTCTGCACAGCACGTCGACCCCTTGGGCACCCTTGGGCAAAATGTCACGGTTCAGTTAAGAAAAAAGGTCGACGTCCTGTCCATTTGACTTTATGCCAATTAACAGGGGATTAACAAAGACAAAGACATAATTCAGTGTTTTCACAAGGCGGTAATCCGGATTATGTGGTTGAGAGCACAGACAACATGAGAAAATTACTATATTTCGTCCATTTTATTTCGTATACAAAATCATTCAACATGAAGTAGGTGAGATGCAGCATCTGCAAACTCTCTGGTGTTGATTTATCCACTCTCAAGATCATGTCTTAGGACGTCAAGGCGGCGTTCCAAGTTCCTGTATTTCTTTTTCTTCCATGGATGTTTCTGTCCAACGCATAACTGCAACAGGCGGACTTCAGCGTGAGTCTGCTCCTTAGCAAGAAATTTAATTATTTAAAAAATTATTGGGATGGGCCTTTCCCACCAATCTCTTCAGACGACAGTGCTACCCTTCCTGATGGTTGTTGGTACGGAGACCGTCGGGATCGTGGTGGTTCAATGGGATCTATGGACGTCACAATGTCATTAACAGTTAACGCAGTGGACTTACAGCTCTTTGCTGTGCACTTCCGATCTCGCTCCCTCATATTCACTCAGTACATGAATCCACCACCACAGTCATCTTCCACCACGAGATGGAAGAAATCGCCGATTTCACTGTGCATTTGCCATTTCGAAACTGAATGCAATCTACCGCAAGGTCTTTCCTTACATATAGCTAAACTGAATGAAATATGTTCATCATTGTAAACTTCACTCCCATATGATGTCATTGATGACATTTTGAGTGAACTATGTTCACTCCTTACGCTATGGTGACCTTATCGATAATCTTAAAACAACACCCACTAGCGGATTAGAGTGACTCCAGCAACACCTTCAACATCAAAGGTTACCGCGGGTCGACTTCGTGTCCATAGCGAAATTTCAAAAGGTCGACTTCTTGTCCATAAACCTATCTATTCTCGCTCTCATTTTTATTTATTTATTCACACACAGTCACATGTGTATATATCTATGTGAATGAAAACGTATGTTTGTGTGCATATACATGTAAACAACTCATTCTAATTCATTAATCCATTCCAGACCTGGAGTATTTGTTCAGAGGTGAAATCTTAGAAGAATTTGACGACATGAGACTTTGGTTGCTTCTGTTGAGGAATTCCATTCTCCACGAGCTTCAGGTGAGAGAACATCATCTGTGGCTTAATGCATGAACATTAATCACGTGGAACTGTTCGTTATAATTTCATATCCAGTCGATCATTGTCTCATTTCTATGTTCTTTTGTTGATTATGAAGTTATTCAGTACAAGTGAGGTCGTGCATATACATGTAGTATTTTCATCGATCCGTTTCACGGTCTATATACTCTTTTTCATAATTATGAATAGGTCACAGGTGCCACAGTATGGAGAATAATGTGTGCTTTTGTCATACAGAACAATGCGATTTGTGGTTTGGATGCCAAATGGATAACTGAAATTAATGTTTAATACAATAACCTGATCATGCAGCAAAATATATAGACGTAGTGTTACTCTCATATAGTGTTGTAATAATCAATAAACATATCGAAATAATTGGTTAACAGGTTACCAGGGTAGAAGGAACTCTTCTGTCTCTTTGGAAACTACATGAAGAAGTCGTCAGGTCGTGGAGCCAGACATCCAGACTCTTTCTCAGTGGTGATCGTTCTCCCAGTATCCGTGACTCCCTCATCTCCATCTACAACATCGTCACTACGGCTGCTGACAAGTACAGTCTCTCCAGGCTTCTACCACCGCCCATCTTCGAAAAAGGCGAGCTTGTGCGACCATCCTTATCATCAAGAACAACCCTCGTACGGAAATCCATACAAAAGACCCACAAAATACTATCAACCACTGCAATGACAGAGCGACGTAAGGTTCAGAAGCCGCCACGAGGACGAACAGCCGAAGCCGATCACTTACCACAAAACCTGGATGAACCAGGGACGAGCTGTCTTTCTCAACAACATGAACAGACGGAGCGTTGTGAAGACGTTTCAAATATGTTACCAACGGTTCATGAGTTTGGTGGCGAAGAATGTACTTTTAATCATAACAAAAGGTCACTCATTCACGCCCATTCTACAAACTATACGTGTGGAAAGTCAAAAATATGTTCTTTACAATGATTTTATGGAACATGGGAGTGGTAATTTTGGAACCCCAGTACAGACTTAGTGGAGGCCTCAACGTTGTATTTAGTGCCGAGATCTTGTTCTCAAAAGTGTATAATCATCAACTGCAAGATGTATTTTGTCATACAAAGTTACAGACAAAACAAATGGTGGGTTTGTCAAATTTGCTGGGACTGTGATGAAGCCAAAACACTTCTCCATTAAAGCATCACAGAAAGCCTAAACGTGGCATAAGATAAGAAACCTGGAAGAACGTTCGGAAAATATTCTTGATTGTCAAACTGAAGAAAGTACATTTAAAGAGAGCAATATTTGATATATGTATTGATGCATTGTTCACTTTCTTTTCCTCACGAATCAATTCAATGTTCAGTTAATCACACTGAACAAATGACTGGAATCATCTGGAAGAGGTCAAATGTGCAGAACACTAACAATTTGGAGAATATGCTTCTGGAAATCATGGCATAAAAATATAGCACCACAAGCTCTGGAGCTCACCCGTGTTTTTGTGTGTGTCTGGAATACAATTTTCCATTGGAAGTCAAAGGAGGATAAGTCAAATTCATTACATTATGTGACACTTGTAAAGGAAGTTAAACAGAGGCAAGTTACATGGTGATGGTCAGCATGCCACTATTGACAACCATGGATAAACATGGGCGGATCCAGGATTTAAAAAAAATAATTTTTTGGGTGGGGTGGGGTGTGGGGTGTGTGGAGTGTTACTGGGGGTTCGAACCCCCTGAACCCCCCCCAACGCAAAAAAAATATCTTCACTGTGGTCTTAAGTCATTTTCAAAAGGGGGGGTTCGAACCTCCTGAACCCACCCTCTGGATCCGCCAATGGATAAATGTTGAACATGTGTCAAAAATCAAGAGACAGCAAAACATAACATATTGGTGGTGGCATATTGTTGGTGGCATAGTATTCTTTCACCATGATTGTTGAATATAAAATCTCGTAACAATACATGAGGTGTTGATGTGTTTATTGACAGTGAACTGCTGCTCACTCTACTACCATTTGTATATGATCAGAGTCACAGTATGGTATCACAGTCTTGGCAAATCTGGACACACTTGACACAACTGCATTTTCATTGATTTTATTTATAAATATACAAGTATGTACATTGTAAAATATATATGTATTCCCTGCAAATATCTTCTATTTCACAATGCAGTAGAATGATGGTATATGTTACCAATATAAGTAAATCTTATTATGGTTTGTTTACCGATCATTCTGTTCCAACCCATAATATTATGCTTTAGTGGTAGTTCTCAGAAAACTATAATCTGTTTGCAGTAAAAACGTACCGATGAATTTCAATTTTAACAAAAAAGTAAATCGAATAAAGTGAAATTAAGACTGCGAATCCTCATAATTTTACCTTGCCAATTGAACATTTAAATCTCAGAATTTCATTCAACTTAGGATAGAAGTTGTTTAACAAACGATCATGGTCTCACATCGCCATTAATGGTTTGTATTACAAGGGGGTGTGCACATCAAATGAAACACCCAGAACATGTAGGGTTGGTCTAAGTTAAGGCTCATCACGTACCACACATGCATTTGTTTCACTGTTCCAACTACTGAGCTTACCCCTTTGTAACTTGTTCGACTGAACAAACTATGATGGCACCAGTACTTGGAAAGTTGAAGAATCTATGCTGAATTCAATAGGACAAGGATTTTGCTGCTGTTATTCAGTTTTGAATGAATATGGGATTTGAACATCGTATGTTCCCGGGCACAGCAAATTGCAGGAAGATTCTAAGATCAGAAAACATTTTATATGTACAATACATCCTACTGCAATGGTATGCATAATACATATCTGTACCGATTTTATGGAAGACATTGTCAGGTTTCCATGCATTGGGAAATTGGTTTAAACACCATTTTCAACAGTAGTTAAGCTTATGGAGGAAAGCCAAAGGTGATGATGGTCAAAGCTGTTTAGCACTTATGTGCAACCCCAGAATACAGATGGCACTGGAGTTAAAGTGAGTTTGAAGTCACATCAGCAATATGTCAGCCATATTGTGAAGATGGTCTTGGAACCATGAAGTGTTGGAGCAACAACCAGTCAAGTCATGTGTTCAGCTGTTGGACATTATAAAGGTCCTCTGTCCTGTATTGTGGGATGTCCTCATCCAGCATGTTGTCTAAGGGCATGCATTGGGGGTTTAGTTTGTGAGCACCTTTAGCCTCTAAAACTCCCCCGGGGGCACAGATCCAGGGGTCGGCAGTGACATTCTGCCACTGAGTCAGGTCCATCTGCAACTGCTTCAGGATGTTTGCATATCCTGCATCTTTCACCAAGTTCTTGGTTTCCTTTGGGTCAAGTTCAAGGTCAAACAGTTCCCACTGACTGCGGTAATAATATTCCCGCAATGTTTTTATCCATGGCAAAGGCTGGCCTTGTCTTGTGCGGGTTAGGATATCTTGGAATGTTGGAGAGAGATAGAAGTCCTGATCGATGGGGAATGGCATCTTGAAGTTGATGTTCTGAATGAGCTTGTAGCGGGTAGTCTGAACGACTCTCATTGGGTAATACATTGTGACCTCATGCAGATCATGGCTGGCGTAGACGGAGGTCCAGCCTGTTGGTGGCTCCACCTGGAGGATGGGGAGGACAGATCGACCAGTCAGCTTGACGGGCTGCTGGTTGAGGACGTAGTTAGGGTACTGTAAGCCATACCACTCCAGCACAGTTGGGACGATGTCTACCAGGCTGACCATAGCACTGCTCTCCTGAAGAAATAGTTCCACGGAACTTTAGCTCACCTGGATATGTAGTCAATAGCCTAAAATCTCATGAAATACCTACACATGAAAAGATGCTGTCTGCATTGATATTCAGATGACTAGGGGATGTTTAAGGTTTTACAATGTTTTGAGCAATATTCCAGCAGTATCACTGTTGGGACACCAGAAATGGACTTCAGACATTGTATCCATATAGGGAATCAAACCCTGGTCTCCAGTAGGAAGAGTAAATGCTTTAACCACTAGGCTACTTAATTCCCTTAAGAAACGAAGACTAAAACAACACTAAAATATACTGATATCAGGAAAATATGATGTTATCATAAAGAGAAACATATGCCAGGTCCCTCACTGTAGCCATTTTAGGTTAGATGATGTTTACAGAGTACAATTTGCCTTTTGAGAGAAATTGTTTTAAAGAAATGGTTAAACAAACTGAAAATTGTAGAAACAATAAATAAAGTGCAGAATGTATATGTGAATCTTAAAACTAAATAAATATCATGTACAGACTTAGGGCAATAAACAGGAGGACAATATTGGACCGTCTTGTTAAATTTTCAAAGTGTTCAGATCTCAAAGTTGTTTTGGATGGGAGCCCTCTCATTAAAAAGTTTGGCCAGTTAAATAGTAGCCATTTTAATATATCTGGTGATTAAAAATATGATCTTGGACACAATTTAGTGTATTTTAGTAAGAAAACGCTGAGTGGAGTAGAGCGGAGTGGAGTGGAGCGGAGCGTAACTGACCTGCCCCCAGCGTTTCCTATGTGCTGGGGAGGACACCAGCATGGGTTCAGCCATGCCAGGGTTGTAGAGGTTGGTGCGGCCAGAGGGGAAGGGGATGCCATTGTCAGATGTGTAGATGATGAGCGTGTCGTCTGCCACACCTGCCTCCTGTAGCTCCTTCATCAGCATCCCGATACCTATACAGTCGGGACATGGAATGTTAAATACTGTCACCTCTATCTCAGGCTGCCACTTTTATCTAAAGACTAAGCAACCCTGACTCAATTTCTTATGCTGATCGTGTCTACTGCCAAGAGTTAACTAGCCTTTTCCATTCTAGTGCATTTGTAACTACTCGTCCCTTTCTGTAACCTGAAAGTAGACTCGTACCCCTCTCGTAGCCATGTCCGGGAGAAATATTCCCCCCAGCCAATCAGAATGCGCAGAAGAAATTGGGTTAAGATAGGTCTTTGAAATATTTTTCATTTGGGCTTGCATAAATTTTTCCCAGACACTTCAAGTATATTCTAATTATTGCATAGTCCTCCTGGGTTTCCTGAATTTTTATAACCAGGATATATTAACATTATGGCGTAAGAAAGTATTTAAGCATGTTAAACATACCCTTTGAGGTAATTTCCTTGGCATGGATGCCATATGTGTTTTCCAAGTAAACTAGAGTTACATGCCCTTGAAAATAGTTCGGCGACTAGACTATTTCTTTCTCTCTGTGCTTTTGCGCTCAGACAGTGCCGAGTTCAATAAAATGGCTACGAGAAGGTTATGAGTCTACTTTCTGGTTACAGTAAGGGACGGTTAGTTACGAATGTCACTAACAGTTACAAATTTGGATCGAGTCTGTTGGAGGAGTTACCTACCCTGATCCAGTCTATCACAAAGAGGTACAAACTTGTATCCAGTCTGCTGTTAAAGTGAGTGAGTGAGTGAGTTTGGTTTTATGCCGCTTTTAGCAATATTCCAGCTCATTAGTCGGGGGACACCAGAAATAGGCTTCACACATTGTACCAATGTGGGGAATTGAACCCGGATCTTCGGCGCGTGACGAGCGAACGTCAACTGTTAAAGAGTTACTTACCTTGATCCAGGTTACTACTAACTGTTACCTAACTTGATCTTGTTGCCTAATTACCTACCCTTATGCTGTCTTCCTAAGAGTTACCTACACTGATCTATGTTACTACAAGAGTTGCTTACCCTGATCAAGTCTGCTGATAGTCGTGTACTGTGCTGCAATGTCTGCCCGAGCAGCTGGTGTGTCTTGTACAAAGTAGGGTACCACTACCTCATCAGGAGAGTACTTGACTGGCTTCCAGTCTGGGATCAAACCCATCCCTGGTTCCCCGTTACCAAACTTCTCACAGAATTGCCCATACTGAGGCTGGGTGCTGCCACAGCGGTGGGGGTCATGGAAACCAATGTAGAGAAAAAATGGTCTGAAATTCAAAACACAAAGCTGTCAGTATCATCAGAATACATCCTTGACATGATATCCTTACCTTGCCAGCTGCTGATAAAGTCAACCTCTTTAGTCAGGTGGATAAGGTGTCCGACCTTGGATCAGACCTTGTTCGAATCCCAACATTGGACATGGAAATCTTTTGGAAATGGACACTCTGTAGAAACTGCTTTTAACGGACTAGCGAAGCTACAGCCTGGTTCTAGCCAATGGGATACTGGCAAGTGCTCTGAACATTCAATATGCCACAAATCTCGATACTTCTCGTGCAGTGCCTGCTCCACCCTTGTAGCCATCTATACTGCACACTGCTGCTCTATTGGGCAATAGTATATTTGGGCCCATTTACCTCAATGTGCTCATTTTACTACGTGACTTGAAATAGACATACTTCACTGCTACTGCATTTTGACTGTATTCATGTGTGATGGAGGAAGAAGTGTATAGAACCCCTATCTCATTAAAATCAGGTCTTTCGCTCTGATATACCACCTTCTAATGAAATTGGAGGACTGATATATAGGTTGTATTGGATGCACATAATGCAGGCCTATTGGAGGGTGGTGGGGTAGCCTAGTCGTTAAAGCGTTTGTTCATCACACTGAAGACCCAGGTTCGATTCCCCCACATAGGTACAATGTGTAAAGCCCATTTCTGGTGTCCCCCATCGTGATATTGCTGGAATGTTGCTAAGAGTGGTGTACAAACCATACTTACTCTAGGCATATAACATTGTTATTTATGCACCCACCTGCTGTCATTGGCGGCCAGGAACTCGCGGACGTACTGCTTGATGAATGTGGTGTTCCGCCCCACCTGTAGGATCGGATGGTTCTCCTCCGTCTGGGAGAAGTCAAACGGGTACACTGGCTCGGGACCTACATGCTTCTTACCCACAATTCCTGCAGTCAGACACACAGAACACATGAACACAGTGGGCGTTGAAGGCTTTTAATTCTAAAGGAAGGTGAGCATTAGACAAATTCTGATATCAACACAAACCATAAATGTTCCCTGGATAGTTCACACTTTTGATTGCAGAAACTACCAGCTGTATAAGCTATAAAAACACAATACTTTAGGACTGGATCAATGTCTGCTTTAAGAACAGGCTGTTTAGAAACATACACATACAGGGGTGGAAATAACCCATTGCCTGACGTCAGAGTCCAGTGTTTTTTTCTGTCGGGCAAGCAAATTTGTATATCACACTGTACCGGTGTCCAGTTGACTTTCCAATGGTAATTATGTTGTTTATTTTAAAAAATCAACAAGAAAACGTCCGGTATAGATAAAATTATCAGGGCAAGTGAATTTACATGTGCCACTGTTCCGGAGTACACTAGCAATTTTAAAGTTATTTCAACCCGACATAGTTCTTTAGATGTTGGTGCTATAAATAATATCACACCACTATGGTGGTCGAGCTGTCTAAGTGCGTGGATCGATCCCCACTTGTGACCGGGTGTAAAAACCTTGGAGCTAACATTACTTGCAGGCTCTTTCAGTGTTTTCACAACCCCTAGTGTGCAGTACACAACCCTGTGAACTTAAAAGAACCCACGAATCTGAAGGTATATGACCAGATGGACACACTTACACTTACAGACACCCAGTTGTGGGTATTGTAACGTGCAGTATCATTGGACAAAATACTGTGACTATGTGTCCCAGTTCACCCCGCTGCAAATGGGTACCTTGGGAGGATGAGGCTGTGTTATAACTCGCTGCTCCAAACAGGCTGCATGAGTTGAAAACTCCCCAGGGAGTTGAGATGGTTAAAAGAATGCCAGAAAAAAAAGACATCCGTTGATCAAGGGAACACTCAAGCGCCTTGAGCATGTACTAGTTGCGTGGATATGTGCATTATACATCATATCATCATCAATATAGTTCTGGTCACTGCTATTATCGTATGGGCATCTTGAACGAACCTTATAAAGCATGTCATGTGCAATATTTTGCCCTAAAGTTTAAAAAGGATTTTAGAAGAAACAGTCAAAGTCAATATTCATAACCAATTTTAAAATACTGGAAATGCGCTGAAATACTGGAAACAAGCTTATGCATGCAAGCCTAGCGTATTTTAAACAAGACATTAACACACCTGTCCTGACACCTGCTTGTTGGAGGATCCTGGGCAGACTCTGCACCTTGTCGAAGGACATGAAGTGATGCACGCTGTGATGCAGGCCATACATGCCATTTTGGTGCTGCGGCAGTCCTGTCAAGATGGCCGACCTGGGATACACACCACAAGGATGTATATAAGTGTCAGTGAACGTATATATATATATATATATATGGGTCTGTGAATGTGTTGGATAATGTTAGGTCTTTTATACTTGGTAAATGCATTTATGCATCAGTGACAAAATGAATAAAAGTGTTGGTGAATGAGTGTAAGTGTTGGTGAATGTGTATAAGTGTCAGTTAATGAGTATAAGTGTTGGTGAATGTGTATAAGTGTCGGTGAATGAGTATAAGTGTCAGTGAATGAGTATAAGTGTTGGTGAATGAGTATAAGTGTCAGTGAATGAGTATAAGTGTCAGTGAAAGAGTATAAGTGTTGGTGAATGTGTATAAGTGTGGTCAATGAGTATAAGTGTCAGTGAATGTGTATAAGTGTTGGTGAATGTGTATAAGTGCTGGTGAATGAGTATAAGTTTTGGTGAATGTGTATAAGTGTGGTGAATGTGTATAAGTGTCAGTGAATGAGTATAAGTGCTGGTGAATGAGTATAAGTGCTGGTGAATGAGTATAAGTTTTGGTGAATGTGTATAAGTGTGGTGAATGTGTATAAGTGTCGGTGAATGAGTATAAGTGCTGGTGAATGAGTATAAGTGTCAGTGAATGAGTATAAGTGTGGTGAATGAGTATAAGTGTTGGTGAATGATTATAAGTGTCGGTGAATGTGTATAAGTGTTGGTGAATGAGTATAAGTGTCAGTGAATGTGTATAAGTGTCAGTTAATGAATATATAAGTGTTGGGTGTGTATAAGTGTCGGTGAATGAGTATAAGTGTCAGTGAATGAGTATAAGTGTTGGTGAATGAGTATAAGTGTCAGTGAATGAGTATAAGTGTCAGTGAAAGAGTATAAGTGTTGGTGAATGTGTATAAGTGTGGTCAATGAGTATAAGTGTCAGTGAATGTGTATAAGTGTTGGTGAATGTGTATAAGTGCTGGTGAATGAGTATAAGTTTTGGTGAATGTGTATAAGTGTGGTGAATGTGTATAAGTGTCAGTGAATGAGTATAAGTGCTGGTGAATGAGTATAAGTGCTGGTGAATGAGTATAAGTGAGTTGGTGAATGTGTATAGCGTGTGGTGAATGTGTATGAGTGTAATCAGTGAATGAGTATAAGTGTTGGTGAATGAGTATAAGTGTCAGTGAATGATTATAAAGCGTGGTGAATGAGTATAAGTGTTGGTGAATGATTATAAGTGTCGGTGAATGTGTATAAGTGTTGGTGAATGAGTATAAGTGTCAGTGAATGTGTATAAGTGTCAGTGAATGATTATAAGTGTTGGTGAATGAGTATAAGTGTGGTGAATGAGAATAAATGTTGGTGAATGAGTATAAGTGTGGTGAATAAATATAAGTGTAGGTACCTGCTAGGTGAACAGCTGCTGACGGAAGTGAAGGCATTCTTGAAGACGACACTCTGGGCTGCCAGCTTGTTGATGTTCGGGGTGCGACATACCGAGTTGTTGTACACCTGTGTCTCGAACCCTGCATCGTCACCTAGGAAACACAGTGACGGCCAGAATTATTAGGCGAGCATGTTGCTGCTTGGGTGGCTGGTTAGACTGCAACACACACAGTTGTGCACCTGCGTCTCGAAACCTACATCATCACCTAGGATTGAATGATTGGTGTTGTTTAACACTGCACTCAGCAATATTCTAGCTTTATGATGGTGGTCTGTAAATAATCAAACCAGACAATCCAGTGATCAACATCATGAGCATCCATTTACGCAATTGGGATACATACATACATTGATGCCTGAATTAAAAGAACAAGCATGTTGATGCGAAGGATGAGATGCACAAAGTCATCTGCTTCAGTGATGATGTGTAAAACTGTCCCTCTTATTTTGTCTTGCCTTGTGTGACTCATAGTCATTTGATTTATATTTTAATGTGGTAAAGTGACCATCATTCATAAATATATGAAATATTGTACAATGCAAAGGGGCAGGTATGTAAACTTGAAAGGAATTTTGAATATCGATTTTTTAACTGCAAATTGAAATAAAAATCAAGTGACTACTGAAAGAGCACACAAGGCAAGACAAAATAAGAGCTACTGTGCATATTGTCCTGACCGAAGTCAGCTGCTATCGATTCCAGTGACTAAAACAAGAATGGCCAGGTGTGATGTTTGCTCCATGACAACCCGACATTCCTGTGGATCTCTGTCACTAAAAAATTAGATCTGTCAAGAGTAGTACAACTGTCCAATTCCTCCTGAAAACACTTCTTTTCTCTGAAGCATATTCATGTTAGACAACTTAAAGCACCATTGAACAGTTGGAAACCTGGCGCTACAAAATTACAATGTAATTATTGGCATGGTGCAGGACTCAGGAAGCTGTACAAAGCAATGTCAGTGCTAATGTCGTTGTAACTGCCATACCTCCACATGGACTTAAAACTGTTAAAGATCTTAGGTTGCTTTGTACACTGGCACCCTGGTACATAGAATCGATGCTAATATTTCAGTGAAGAATTTTTGGGCCTATACTCTTGTAATGTGTGACAAATCAATACAATATTTATCCCTAAGCTGAATATCAGAATGCATGGTCATAAATTTAAAAGAAAAATCCCAGTCTAATTTAGTTGTACCAGCTGTTTACACTAACACAATGACGTACCTATATTCAGGTCTCTGACTCACATGACCCAGGAGTTCTTAAACTGGATTACAATACAAATCAAGCGTTAGGACTAGGAGAAGGATTGGCATCTTCTTATATGTACCTGCCGGACATGTATGGCCCTAACGTAAACCAAGTGGTACTGTTACGACTGAGAGAGGAAATTGGCACTTGCCGGACATGTAAGAGCCTAACTATAGAGTATTAAGTGTCCACGATGATGTCAACAAAGAAGTGTAAAGTGTGTCTCTTCAAATGTTCTATATCACATAACGTAGAATCACTGCAGTATCTTCAAGCACCACATAATGTCTATCCTATTTCAAAGTACATGTAATAAGCGATATATTGTTTGAAGCTTACCTACAATCACCAAAACATTTCTTGTCTTGGAACTGACCACGTTCGGTAACACAAAAGTCAAAAACAAGACGTATCCTGTGGCAATATACATTTTTCCAGCTTTATCTAATCCGTCCACACACATATATGTGGGTCAAGAGCTGTTACCATGCATGGTGCACGAGAACTACAAAGTCCGAACTCCCACTTCCTCCATGTTGTACTCGGTCACATGACTCTCATGTGACAAGACCGAGCGGTGGGGTTAATCTGATCGCGGTGAAGATGTCCCAGATATCAGTACGAATGGATCTTAAGCAACTCAGAAGCAATGTTTTCCTCACATGTAAGTCAATTTGTCAACTTCATGTAATTGTTGATTGCAGTTTCATTGCTATTTCAGCGACACGTCTCTTCTATACCACAGTGGTGGGCATTGTGTCAGTGCCTGTCACAACCTCGTCATCGTCAATATATAGCGATACAGCTGGATCTAAATATAAATTAAATGGAAGTTAAACTTCTCAATAAATGTTATTTAACATTTTTCGAAAACTTATATGGTTATTAAAAAACATTTTCAACACCCCACAGGAGATATATTTGTTTATTTTCTTATAAATGTATTTAATCAATATCACTGTTTGATAAGTTATACAACGTTTTATACCTATTTTGAGAGCAGTGTGTTTATGCAAATTAGGCACATATTTTGGCCCTTATCCAATCAAACGGTGTAAAGAGTGTAAACTTTACTCCTGTTAGTCTGAAGGGTAAATTTGACACATCTTATACCCAGGATTTATGATGCATTTAGCACTTACTTCACTATCTATATTATGGCAGGGAGGAGAAGAGCTAATTGCAGGATACTGTTACAGAGGAGAAGATTTCTGTCACCTTTGCAATGAGGTCCTTAGCTGACATTCATCTTTTCTGAAGTCACAACACGCTTCTTGTCATCTCTTTACCAGCCGTAATGTTTGTGTGCAAAGTTTACTTGGTAATGGTGCTGCATTTGGTAGATTTTATGTGAACATTTCACAGTAACCTGAATGCATAGTTACCAAGTAGACACAGTCTGTCATACAACCCGAGAAACAAATACATTAAACTACACTGTAACAAACACACTTTAAACTGTTTATGTCTCAGCAACCTGTATGTTTTAGTCAAAATGACACTATTTAACAAATTATAGTTATAACAAACTAATATTATTGGTCTCTTTGAGGTTGGTATAACCATAGTTCACTGTACACCTAATACTGCAAGTACACTAATACTGATACAGAGCATGCAAGTCTGTAAGAGTCTGCAAGTCTCGATTACTTCAGTTAGAGAAAAAAGTCTTTGGGCTCCTTTTTTGCTAGAATAATTTATCATTTTCTGTAAAAATATTTCATTCATTTCAGAGTCTAGATGATAGTCTATAAGTTACCACTCTATGTACTTTCTTTGTTACTAATGTTAGGTCTGCATGATGCTGAAAGGCTTGTGACCAACTACTTAACTAGCATTAAAAGTAATAGCTGTTCGCTGATAAGTGTTGAAAGCTTTAAAGGACATTGCAGGACTGCCCTTGTTCACCTTATCCTTTAAAAATACATGACCAATCATAAAGTGGAACTTAATCTACCTTTAGTTATACATGTTATAATGTCTATATTGATTTGTCCTTATAGTCTGTTTGCGGTGAAAACGTACGGATGAATTTCCCTCTAAACAAACAAGTAAATCAAATAAAGTGAAATTAAGATTGCGAATCCTCATAATTTTACCTTGCCATTTGAAAATTTAAATCTCAGAATTTTATTCAACTTGGGATGAAAGTTGTTTAACAAACGATCATAGTTTCAAATCGGTATTATTGGTTTGTATTTACACTCACTAATCTCTTTATTCCTGATTATCTAGCAAGACAAGATGAGTGTATTGGATAAGGGACCTTGATTGGACTGCTCATACCCATGCCGGCTTAGAGTGTTTGATTCACCATGCAATCACTACTTCCTGATTATCTAGCGTGACAAGAGGATTAATTAGTGTATTGGATTATGGGTCCTTGATTGGACTGCTCATACCCATGCTAGTTTAGACAGTGTTAATTACAGTTAAAATTGCTTGTTGGGACCAGAAAGTCGTCCCGGAATACGGAATAGACAGGTGCCGGATAAGACAATGTTTTAATGATCATAATATCTTCTTTGAGTGGCATTTTAGAAGTTCCATCTGCTTATGATGCACTCATCCACCAAGCCCAATCTACTGTATAAACTCTGCTGTATAAACATCTCATTATTATTTGTACATCATTGGCTTCCACGCCTGTCCTTTGTCTGCGCTTTGGCTTCATCAGCTTTCTGCCTAGCCAATTATGTTAATTATGTTGTTTTCTTTGTTACATTGTTACATCCAGTATATATATACTTCCCCCCTTCTTCATGTTCCATTATGCTTGACAACGGTGCAAGAATCTGTATCGAAATGTCGCACTCACGAATAAAAAGAAGTTGTTATCCATAAAGTTTGTTCTATAATGATCTTAATATCATTGTAAAATGGCGGGACCAAATTTTATGCCGGTTTTGACAGTGTGCCCGGATTAGACAGGTGCAGGTGTTGGCAGGTTTCACTGTATATTTCTACTTGAAATACTTTCAAAAGTAAGAATCTTCCGCATTAAAAGGTATATATAAGGTAAGCATTTTTCACTTATGCCAAGTGCTTCCAAAACATTTTCCCTGGCAAGTAAAGCATATCACGATGGTAATAACTAGGACTGTGTATTGGCAAATACATTGTATTGCAGTATATTGCAGTTCAGGTACCTGTATTGCCATACATATTGCAATATATTGGAAACTTTGTGTTTGACAATGAGTGACACTAATTGTGCATGTCGATCCTAAACATATGTTATGCTTCTGATAGGGCAGTGGGGTAGCCTAGTGGTTAAAGCGTTCTCTCGTCACGCCAAAGGCCTGGGTTCGATTCCCCACGTGGGTACAATGTGTGAAGCCCATTTCTGGTGTCCCCACCATGATATTGCTGGAATATTGCTAAAAGCGGCGTAAAACCATACTCACTCACTCACTATGGTTCTGATAACAGCAATCTCAAAATTAGGTTGCATAGTCACAGATTTATTTTATTTTTCATACAACTTATACATTACAGTATGCAGTTTTGTCCTTGAATAACCAAGGAATACATTTGTTGTGAATGAAAGTATGTGTAGATTTTAATTTATACCATAGAGATAATCACAAAAATTTCATATATGTTCTTTACCCAATATACCAGTTCTCAGAAAGAATAGGGGCGGTGGGGTAGTCTAGTGGTTAAAGCGCTGGCTTGTTACACCGAAGACCCGGGTTCGAATCCCCACATGGGTACAATGAGTGAAGCCCATTTCTGGTGTCCCCTGCCGTGATATTGCTGGAATATTGCTAAAAGCAGCGTAAAACCAAACTCAGTCAGTCAGTCAGAAAGAATATTGCAATGCATATCGTTTGAAGCGTATTGCAATATACCGTATACCGGTAATACCGTGCAGCCCTAGTAATAACATCACAAAAAAATAATCAGCATTTTCCGACATGAACGTAGTGCTACTGAAATCAGACCAGCTGCTTCTGTTGGGATGTTAGTAAAGTAACAGGTGTTTGTAGACATTGTTGGGCTTAGTGATTGATTTCGCACTCGTGATGTGCGATATCGTTCGCGTAGCGTGACAATGCCCCATGTGATGGCCTGAACAACAGCTGTCGTGTAACAGAATCACCATGTCAATACCTTTACTGTATGGCAATCAGTGTTTGTTTAGTTGATGAAATATAATTTGATTTTTATCCATGTACTCATCATTTGGGATTAGTTTTGAAATGCTGAGAGGATTAAATATTCAGGTATTTTAAGACTATGACAAAATAAATTCTTAGGTCTTCATTTCATCATGGCTTGCAATGAAACCTCCTACATTATATTGGTTTATTGTCACATAATAACTGATGCTTTGTCTCTGAAAATATATAAACGATTCTCATTTAAAATAAAAAGGAGCCCCAGGGGATGGAAGATTCAGATCCTGAACCTGTGGAAAATCGAGACTTGCTTGATTAAGGGTTTTAGTATGATGGTATCGGCTTGGTGAAAGGGAAAATATGCATTAAGATCCGGGTTAGAATTGGTCTTTACCAACCCATTCCTGTTGTCAGAGGCGACTTGCGGGATCAGGTGGTCAGGCTAAGTGACTTGGGTGATTCTTCTCAATAGTGTGATCGATGCTCATGATGTCAATCGCTGGTTTGTGTGGTCCCGACTCATATATTTACAGACCACTGTCTTATAGCTGGAATATTGCTGAGTGTGACATTAAACAACAAACAAATGAAAGGGAAGGTAATAGGGACTGTGACACACTCTACCAAAGTAAGGGCAGTTGATGCCTATGTGTGTCCTCGGATCTCTACCAAACGAAACACACCATATTGGTACTCATATCAAACGCTCATGCTTTATGTGAATCATATCTGCAGATACTTAATTTATAAGTATTCTTTGATTAGATTTTTTATGATAAATAGCATAAATGAATAAATAATATGCTTCGTCCATCATTGGAATATTTATGAAATCTTATGATTAATTTAACCTTATCAGTTATGGCAATTTTCAGAAGATCCACAGATTTCTGCGGATTTTATTTCAAATTACGCCCAAGCTGAACCCCGCATTCGATGGCACAGTATTAAGTTTTCAGCTGAAAATAGATTTTCCTGTTGCCATCCCTGCCTTATTCACATGACACATGAGTTTTGGCCTGATCAAGGTAATGAACGTTTGCATCTTCATCATATTGAATGTTGATTGATTTTCATGGTGAGTATGTTATATGTTCCCAGATTGTGCAGTCAGACAAGAGTATAGATATATATGCTGTTAACTTTGAACAGTCAGGCAGATAAAGTAACATTGGGGTGAGTCAGTGGGTTGGGTTTGATGCTCCACTGACCATGTGGATGAGTAATATCACTGATAGACTTCCTTGTGAACATAATGTGGGAAGAATGTTGAATGTCTTCCACTAGAAACATTATCAAGTAGAATGTGGGATATGGAGTTGAAACTAATGATTGTAGGATTCTGGCATGTCTAAGGGAGGCAACTCTGCAAAGTAAATGGAACACCTTATAGACAATATAAACCACATTGCTGTAGTATGAAGCTGATAAACCTAGAAACATAATCAAGTTGAACCTGCCACCAGGGATTATATGGACCTACAATCATAGGGTTCTGCAATGTCTAAGGGAGGGAACTCTGCAATGTAAATGGAACGACTTAGACCATATAGACCACACAGCCTTAGTATGAAGCTGACAAACCTAACAGAATCACAGTCACAGGATTCTGGCTTATCTAAGGGGGGCAACTCTGT